TTAAAGTGTGCACCTGTAAGAGTAGGTGAACACCCTACCCCACCCCACAAAGCCCTAAGAGACTCTGGGCCACTAAGGAACAAGGACAAAAGTGGCAGGAGCAAAAGTGAAACCAATGCAGGTACTCTCACAGACTTAAGATGGGGAAAACAAAATACTTTGCAGGTATTAGAGCAGATTTTCAAAATCCTCTATGTTTTTAAGAAGCCTGAAAAGTGTTAGTAGGAGTCCCAAGCAAAGAGGTTTCTATAAAACGTCAGGCTCTTTGAGCACCATGCTATAATCTTCAAAAGGCATTTTCAGTTATTCTTAGTCTGCTGCTTCTAGGAAATGGCTGTACCCCAAATTTCTGCTGTATACAATAACATAAATCGTGGGGGGGGGTGCATTATTGGAGCCTATGCTTGTTTTGTGCCAATAGATAAGTTTTTGTAGACCAACAGAAATTGTGTTGGTTTGTTGTTTTGAATCAAGGGATACATATTGAATAAATTTTCAAGGGTTACAATTTTCCTATTAAACACCCCCCCCCCCGCCTGAGATATTGTACAAAATCTGTGAGCACTTCATTCATTCTGGTTTTTTCTTCATAGGACGAGTTAAGGATACAAAATAAAATTAGGCAGGAAATAGTTTTTATATATAAAATGCTAATAACTAGCCCAAAGTATACACAGCAAAAGTAGAAACAAAAAACTGATGGGAAGTGTTTCCTAGTTAGTGTTATGTCCAACTGTTTCCTTCGTTCTCACTACCTTTGAGATCACCTTCGAAATCAGGGAGGAGCATGTGAATTGCAACAGTTCGACGGAGCTGAAGCTCCATTGGAAGGGCGGGTGTTAGGCAACATTTATACCAACATTAATTCTGGAAGATTAAAGTCCGAAAAAAGTGATTTCAAGTAACAGGTTTAGCTTTACATCCTAAGTTTTCCATTTGAAAACTAAAAAGGATGCCACTTATTTTCTATAAAATGAAAGCCTTTAAAGGGTCTCATTCTGGATACAGTGCACATTCATTGCCTTAATAACGGATGTGTTTGAGATGGTGAATGGGGAAAAAAATTAAAAATGAACAAACCATGAAAATAGTGGATCTGCAGTTATTTTGTTTGTGAAATACCTTGCGGACAAAAGAGGGGTACAAGAAAAAATGCGAACACCTTGCAGGAACAAATTATGTACTATATATATATAAGCATTCAAGCAGTATTATTGTATAACATATACAGTATTATAAACCAAGGGAAAAATAAGAGTAAAACTGTTTTATTTTGAAATGAATGCTTATAATAGGATATAGGAGAGGCAATAAGGAGCAGTATCTTCCAATTTCCTCTTCCCTCAAAACAAACCACTACTTACAACTCATATTATTTTTATTTTCTAGGCACAAAGATTATATAGGATTTCAATTTTTCTATTTTTCAAAAAAGGAGGAAAGTGCAGTGTATATATAGTTTAAACAAAAAAAAAAACCCCACACAGGTTATAGTGATGAAGAACATAGGCCCCACATTTCAAAAAATATATATTTCAGGTATAGTAATACAAACTTTTGTAGTTCAAGGGTCCTGACTGTTTTTAAAAATACAAAAAGTAGTTTTTGTAATTGCAACTGATTGTCTGGTAGATTTATTTTTCTCTCTCTTTAGTTTTACAGAGACTGTTGGGAAATCCTTTCAGTAAATGCCAGTGATGGATTAAAGAAATGAGCCCCCTTTTACTGGTAAGGCATTGGTTTATTACCTAATTTTTTTGATGGAATAAGAAAATAGTTACACCATAGTTCCATAATATATTATTTGGCCTTTAGACTAATAAACCACATAAACCCTGACTGTTATTTTTGTGTAAGGTATTGTATACAGAAAAAAGCGAGTTAAGGTTGTTCTAGCATCTAGCAAAGTGTGAAAGGATGGTTAAGCAGACATTGAATTACCCCATGAAAAGCCTAAGAATAACGTAACATTCAGTATGTAATGCTCAGTATGTATGTGAGACAGATCCATATGAGAAAATGCAAAAACACAGTTCCAGGTGAAAGGTGGTTTTATTTTGGTTATGCAAGAATTAAATTCTAAAAACAGTATTTCTCAACCAGAGTGATTTGGTAAACATTTTAAAAATAAAGCAGTCTGTCTTGATAAGAAGCACTGTCCCACAAGATACATTTGCCATACAACCCCTGCTGAAATGGTAGTCGTAGAAGGCCTTTTCTGCAAATGTCATTCTTTTCTTTGGACATGTGCTTGGAAAGCTCCCAGTGGATTGAGCCCCAAAGTACGATTTTTTAAAAAGGCTAGTTAATTAAAAATAGGCTGTTGTGTAATAAAATTTTGGGTTTACTGGCTTTGGTTGCAATGGTGTTTCTTAAGATCAAATTGTCAATTTTAAAAAGTTATGTGATTTAGAGGACATAAAGAGCTGTGTGTGGTGGCAGGGTGGAGTGAGGGGGACGGCATTGGGGGTATTATTTTCCTGACCTAATCTGTACCTTAGATAATTTCATGTAATAGCAAAAATTGTGGGATAAGGCCTGTTAAAAGTGTAAGGTATGCTGTTGTAAAACACACATCTGCTCCAAATCAGTTGTATATTTCACTTTGATTACGTATTATTAAATTCTGGTTACTAAAATTTGATGTTCATGGTAATGTTTAAAAACAACAACAAAGGTTTAGGACAGTAAAAACTCCATGCTATTGTGAAATCTTTTAAAGGCAAAAGCAAAGCCTTCTTACCTTTTGGTAAAATAATTGCACACTGACTGAAAGCTGCAGAAAAGTGATTCTGTATGCAGTTCCCTATGATAAAAAAATACCTATAAAAAAAAAAGTAATGAAGGTTTACAGTTTGTGTGTGTGTGTGTTTTGCCTTTGTGAGGAGACAGAGAAATAGTTCTGCTTGAAGCCAGAAAGACATATACCATTATGAAATGGTATGGTTGGATCCTGTCAAAATATTTCTACTTCTTAATTTCAGATTTAATCTATTGCTAGAAAAATTGTCAATATTTTAAAGCACCTGAGGCGTATTTTTCCTCAAGTGCTTTTGTTAATATCTAGAAATGTATGCAATAAGTCAACATTCCATTACTCATGCAACTTTTATTATTAAATAAAGCTTTCTGTACCAGGATTAAAATTACTTAATAATGTTACTCTGAAATTCTTCATTGACTTGAAATAGAGAAATAATATTAATAAGACAAAAATGTGAAAATTAATTGAAATCCAAAAAAGAAGGCCTTTTTAACAGGCCAGCTTTATAAACTTTAATTCAAATAGTGAAACTACATAAACTGTCCATCTTTTCTCTGAGACAGATAAATATATACAGCTGAGCAGTTCTATAGTTAAATATGGGTTATAAGGGGAGGCCTGTTATATTTCACGTTCCTGTTCACACAGTCTTTGTCCCATGTTGTCCGTTGTGGCTTTAATCTATGTATTAAAATGCTTGTAAAAATGATTGTGGCTTGTTTGTAAATGAAAAAGGTAGAGCTCTGCACGCCTGACTGTTGAAGGATTCGGTTTTTCAATGGAAATGTTGATGGACAATTATGTAGTGCTGGCTGTTAAAGAGTTGAGATTCCTGTAGAATTTTTTGGGGTGAAAAACTAGCAAAAATCAATGCACCAAGAAATAAATTGTAAATAAGCGTATGGGTATTATTTGAAATGACTTTGGCTTGTATTGGCTTGGGAGATATACAAAGTGTGTCTGTAGAGTCACAAAGGGAAGTTTTTTCTGTCGTTGTTTTAGCCAGGTATCACTTTGAAAACCGCTTTAATGTTCAAAATATTTTGTTGGGAATTAAACTTCGTAAAAATGTGTGGGAGTACGTTATAGGTCAGCTTCTTTGAAAGAAGCATGACCTCTAAAATAAATTATAAAGGGGGGGAGGGATTACAACATGACTGTAAGTGACCATATTTTGTCTGTTTTTTTTATTATGTGTAACAGATTTTTGAGAGATTTGGATTTCTTTTAGGGGTTGTAGCACCAGCTAGGTTTCTGTGTTGTCTGGGAAGCAGATGGTCTCTAGAATTCCTAGCCATGTAACAATTAACATGGCAGTACAAATTAGAATAATTAGACTGATTTTTCTTTGGCAATTATTTTTGAGAGCAGTTATTTCAAATGCAATTAATAATAAATAGTAAGAAGTGTGTACACACAATGCCCATTTCAGTTAAGTCTAGGAAGGCTTGCCATGAGGCTTTGTTTTCCTCTTTCAAATTAGATACTGTTTAATCTGTTTTAAATTGTGGTTGGTTTTGTTTATAGATGTAGTTTGTTGGCTCTTGAAAGACTGAAGGAACTGAAAAGCAGGAGCGTAGTATAGTAATACTGATATATACCTGAATGCATATTTGTAAGGAGAAAAGTAGAATAGCAAGGGTTTTCTAAATCTGCTTTATTTTTCTTATCTGTTTATCTATCTGTATGTCTATATGTATTCTGAGATCTTGGGAAGAGACCTGGTGATTTTAAGAACAAATAGTGCATTCATTTTTTTTAAAAAAAGAGGTACTCAGATGGGAGAATAAATTCTACCTGCTGTCTGAGGTACAAAGCAAAAATAATGATTATTATTGATAAAAAGAAACTGTAGTCTCTAGAAGCGTGCAGGAAAACAAAGAACAGTAGACTTAAAACCGAAAACGTTTTGTAGTAAACACCTGAGGATGACTGCAGATGCAGATTTGTTACTGTTCTGGAGAATTTTAAAAGAATATTCTTATGCTAAAAAAAAAAATTCCAGGCCCCCCTTTAGAAGCTCTCCGCGTGTGGTCTCCCCTTTTCACTTTCTCTTGACACTGAGTGTTTTTAACGCGTCGCGTGTGTTGCCTATTTTGTGTGAACAGGGATGTGAGGGGAAAGTCGAGGAAACAAGAGTCGAGCCCGATGACACAAAGTTGTTGCCTCTGGGCAACCAAGGGGTTAACTCTGGAGTTGCTGGGCATGTGCAGTGTGGGAATTGTAGGCAGTAAGGATGCTGGGAGATGTCGTAAAACCCGCTCCGGCTTCTTCCTGTAATGGCCGATTTCAGGGATGCTGCAGAGGGATTTTTTATCTCCGGCAAAAGCCCGATTTTCACCGATCCGAATGCAAATGCGGAGCTCGCCCAAATTATGGGTGTCTCGGGATATGCAGCGGCCGATTAAGTGCCCAAGAATGTCCGAAGGCGGAGAAGATTGCTTGCTTTAGGGGCCTCTTGATCGTTGTCTCCAGTATTGATGAAAATGTCGTGATTCCGGTCGCTTCGTTGGCTGCGTGTCATAGCGCCGTTTCAGTTTCTGCTGACTGAGGCTCTCTCTGTGTGTTTGTGCTTCTCCTCGGGGGATGGGGTGGGGGAGGAATTCTGCATTGCTGCAACAGGTTTTGCTTGAAATAAACAGGTTGTTAAATCTGACTTGCTAGGATTTGGGCGCATTAGCTAAACAGCTTGCTGCTGGGAGGGTGGAGTTATTAGCCTTGTGTTATTCCACGTCTTTTGCCTATGTGATTTCATGTTTGCGCTTTCTTTTAGTACATGACACCTTTTTTGTGCCGGTAGAGAGATACCAGGCAATGGCTGATTTTCTGACATTGCTGCTTAAAAGCTTCCTATACAATCACAATGATTTAATAAGCAATTGCGCAGCAAAAATTGTGTGTGTGTGTGTGTGTGAGAGAGAGAGAGAGAGAGAGAGAGACATTTAAATTCAGTTAGGAATTTTCTTATGGCACATAAACTGTTCAGATATTATATATAAGGCAGAAGGAAGCTAACTTGAGATGAGAGAATGTGGTAAAAGCTAAGTCACCCTTTTAGAATATTATGTGATTTTGGTTAGAATAGGTAATGACATGGCATAAAAGAAGATAAGGCTTAACAGTCATTCTGTGGAAGCCAGTTTAACAATGTCCAAACAGTAATTTCTTTGATTTAAAATTTTTACTGTTCATTATAGGCAGTTGTATAGGCAAATTTGCGCATGAATTGCATTATACTTTTATCAAAAAGGGTTAAGTGTATGTTAACATTTGGGAATTGGTAAAAGCAGAAAATAAATTGAAATGTCAAAATCATTATTTTTCTGACCACTCCTGTTTAATAATAATAATTTTATTATGTATACCCTGTCCATCTGGTTTGATAACAGTTTTGTGCAAACTTCTATAAATATGGGGTATGGTCTGAAGGCACATAAGGCTACCACCTTGCTGAATCTGTGCATGTCTGGATTTGGTCAGTGTGTGGATGGGTAAGAGCTTGGACACATGTATGTTGCCTTGAGTTCCACGATTAAAGGCAGACAGGATACCATAGAATCACAAAATTGTAGAGTTGGAAGGGACCCCTAGGGTTATTCAACCCCCTGCAATGTAGGAATCTCAACTAAAGCATCCATGACAGATGGCCATGTAACCTCTGCTTTTAACCTCCCAAAAAAGGAGAGTCTTATCTACCACCTTCCGAGAGAGTCCATTGGTTAGGGTCCTAGCTATGATTTGGGTCCTAACCTTTGGAGCAGGAGAAAATAAGCTTACTCCATATTCCATGTGACAGCCTTTTAGATATTGGAAGTTGACTATCATACCTCCTCGCAGTTTCCTCTTATCCAGGCTTACCCAACAACCTCATAAGGCTTGGTTTCCAGACCCTTGTTCATCTTGGTTGCCCTCTGTACATGCTCCAGCTTGTCAATATACTTCTTAAATTGTGGCTCTAGAACTGGACACGGTACTCTAGGTGTGGTCTCACAAGCCAGAATAGAGCAGTACTGTACTATTACTTCCTTTGATTTGGGACACTCTGCTTCTGTTGATGCAGCCTAGAATAGTATGAGCTTTTCTGTTGATGCACCACATTGCTGACTCATGTTAAGCTTGTGCTCTACTAAGACCTCTAGATCTGTTTCACATGTACTACTGGCAAGCCCGGTGTCCTCCATCTTAGATTTTTGCAGCTGGTTATTCCTGCCTAAAGTGTAGAACCTTACATTTGTCCCTACTGAAATTCATTTTGTTTTGGCCCAGTTCTTCAATTTGTTAAGGTCATTTTGAATTCTGAGTCTGTCTTCTGCATCATTGCTACAAGAGACAAGCCTCTTGCTGCAGTTCCATTTCCTGCCTTCACCACTGGTAGGAGGTCTCTTACCTGCTCTAGGCCTGGTAAAAGAAAAAGGTGGAAATGCCATCTTGGAAGGGATTTTTCTTTCCTTTGTTCTTTCTTTATCTTCATTTCTTGGATCCACTCTTTCAGCTCCCTTCTATTATCCATACCAGGTTTTTCTTCTCTTGGATCTACTTTTGACTAGGCCTCCCTTTGGGCCTACAGTTTTTGGAGGCCTCCGGACTTGGGAAGGAAGGCTAGGAAAGGACTGAAACCGAGCAGAAGGGGTTTTCCTTCTCAGGAAGAGACTTTCTTTTCTGTGAGATGGAGCTTTCTCTGGATTCATCAGCGGGATCTGTGGGAACCCAAGCTGCCTGCTCAAAGGAGCCTGGAATTCCCTTGAATTTAGCAGCAGCCCAGGCTGAGGAGGTTTTGGGCGACATGCAAAGGCCTGATCCAGCAGCTCCAGCAATTCTGGAGGTTCTGGTAAGCAGGAGAGTTGGGCACCCCTGAGTGGATTGCCTGGCTAGGACAGGCTTTGGGCCTACCTGCGGCTTCCACGCTCCACCCCCATCCCCACTTGCCACAGACCCATCAGGGTCCCTTCAGCCAAGGGCAGCACTGTGGGGTGGGCCTCGGGAAAGCACTCATGGTTCAAGCAGGGCTGGGAACTGGCAGGATGCCAGGAGGAGGAGAGCTGATCCCTTCCCCCTCAGAATACTACTCTTCTTGGAGCTGCCCCTTGTCCCCTCACAGTGGCTAGGAGGAGGCAGGGGCCCCAGCACAAGTGATGCTGGATGCTGAGCAGGGGAGAAAGGGGCCTTGGCAGAAGGGCCTACAGGAGAACTGAACCTTCCCTTTCCCCATGGGCAGCCAGTTCAGAGGATGCCTCATGCCCTCAACCCCTTCATCATCCAGGCTTACATCCACCTCTTCAGACAGGGATGACGGTGAGCTTTCCCCAGATGAGGAGGAGGGGGAGCATCCCCCCGACTCTTTATGAGCCCAGACATCAAGCAGCTCTTGGGAAAGGCTGTGAAGGCAGTCAGTCTCCCTGAGGAAGCCCAGCAAGCCAAGGAGCAACCCCAGGCAGCCAGCAATGCCTCCAAGACCTTTCCCAAGCGCAAGGCCCCCAAGAGGGCTTTCCCCTTTCCAGTAGAGTTTAAGGAGAGCATCTTGCAGGAATGGCAGGCACCTGGGGCTTCCAAGGCAACACGCTCTCTCATAATGCGGCTACAGTGGTACCTAGGGTTAAGTACTTAATTCGTTCTAGAGGTCTGTTCTTAACCTGAAACTGTTCTTAACTTGAAGCACCACTTTAGCTAATGGGGCCTCCTGCTGCTGCTGCGCCGCCGGAGCACGATTTCTGTTCCTATCCTGAAGCAAAGTTCTTAACCTGAAGCCCTATTTCTGGGTTAGCAGAGTCTGTAACCTGAAGTGTATGTAACCTGAAGCATATGTAACCTGTGGTACCACTGTATATGCATTTGATAAGGATAGAGTGGGATTTCTGAGATGCCCCCCCCCATATGTTCCCTTACCCATGGATCCATGGTTTCCAGAGATGGGCAGGATTACCCCAGGAACCCGGAGTACAAAAGGGCAGAGGTTCTGTTATACAGGTCACACTAGCCATTAAGGTCTCAGCTGCAGCTTCCTTCATGGCCAGGGCAGTCTGCATCTGGGCTCAGGCCTTTCAGAGGTCCCACCAGGGTTTGTCCATGTCCAGCCGGATGCCTTGCAATTTGCAGCAAGGGCCATGGCAGCAGTCGTGGCAGTGCACAGGAAGGGAAGGGAAATTACTCTTCCTTTCGTTCCAACGGGGGCTTATTCAGCGCTAGAGATTTCAAGAGCTACAAACCCTCCTGGGGAGGGCAGCGTTTCCCAAATAGATCCTCATGTAGCCAGAGCTCCCTCAAGCAGCGTCAAGGCAGCAATTACAGGGGAGGCAAGAGGCGGCGGCAGCAGGAAGCCTCGATCACAGATCAGTGGGTGCTTAGCATTAGTCAGGAGAGTTACAAGATAGAGTTTGACCAGTCCCCCCCCCGCCAAATTCATTTCCTCCCCATGCTCCAAAAAACACAGAAACACTTCCCTATGCTTCAAGCAATCCAGCATCTGCTGGAGATCAGAGCGATCGAGCCTGTGCCAAAACCACAGCGGGGATCTGGCTGCTACTCTAGTCTCTTTATGGTCCCAAAGCAATCAGGAAAATGAAGGGCCATTCTAGATCTCAAGAGGGTCTATCAGTACCTGACCTGAAATAAATTCAGAATGGAAACCTTGAAGACCATTCTAAAGGGTTTCAGGCCTGGAGACTTCATGGCTTCCCTAGACCTGATGGATGCTTACCTCCACAGCCTAGTTTACCCAGCACATAACCAGTTTCTGCATTTTGCATACCAGAAAAATAATTATCAGTACACCTGTTTGGCTTTTGGTTTGGCCCAAAGTCCGAGAATGTTTTCAAAGGTGTTGATAACTGTGGTGGTCCATCTACAGAAGAAGGCCATTCATCTTTTTCCCTACTTGGGCGATATTCTGATCAGGGCAGACTCACTCCATCAAGCCAGGAGCGATGTAGCAGAGAGCCTAGACTGCATGCAGCAGCACAGATTCTTAGTGAACATGGAGAAAAGTAAGCTGTTTCCAGTGCAGGTCATGTTGCCCTAGGGAGCTTGAAAGACACCAAGGAGGGCTTGGTGAGCCTCTACTCAGAGTGTGTGGACAAGATTCGGACCTCGGTCCGATAGGTCCTGGGGGCAAAGAGGGCAGACACCTTCCAGCTGGCCAAACTGCAGGGGCACATGATCACCTCCATGACCTGTGTGCCATGGGCGCAATTTCATGCCAGACCCCTGCAGTGGGCTTTCCGTCCCTATCAGATGGACATCATACAGCGGAGGCATGTAAGGCTGCAGTTGAGCAGGGAGACCAGGAGGTCCCTAGAGTGGTGGCTTTCCCCAGTTTTAGAGAAGGGGCACTCTTTCAGGGAGCAGCCACAGGTCCAGATAACCACGGACGCGAGTCTTTCGGGTTGGGGAGCACACACAGGTGATCATTATGCCCAAGAGACCTGACCCAAGGAGGAAGCATACCAACTGATAAACTGGTTGGAGCTCAGAGCAGTCAGACTGGCCCTCCTCTGCTTCAAGAGGTTGGTGGAGGGAAAACGTGCTGATGCATTCAGACAACCTGTCTACCAAATCATATATACGCATGGAGGGCCAGATCCCAGGCCCTCATGCAGGAGGCCACCATTCTTCTGTCTTGGGCAGAAAGGCATCTAGAATCCCTATTGGCAGAGCACGTATTGTGCTCCGTCACCAGGTATCTCAAGCAGAATGGAGCCTTCATCCACAGGTGTTCCAACAAATAGTGGACCGCTTTGGCTTCCCCAGGGTGGAATGGTTTGCAAGTTCAGAGAACTGAAAGGTGGGGCTCTTCTCCCAGTTCTTGATGAGGGGAGCGATGGGCATGGATGCCTTGACCAGCGACCAGGGGGACTTCTCTATGCCTTCCCTCCCATGGCCCTGATCCAGAGACTGCTGAGGTGGGTCAGGTCCAGCCTGGAGAGATCATTGTTGCGGCTCCCTTTTAGCCAAGGAGGCCTTGATTTGCAGATCTGAGGGCCTCATCAGTAGCAAACCCTTGGCCCCTACCTCAAAGGAGCAGTCTGTTGTCGGAAGAGGTCCACCACCCAGACTCAGATTGGCTACAACTCCACACTTAGCTGTTGAGAGGTAATGCCTAAGGAAGTTGGGATTGACTGACTAGGTAGCCTCCACCATCCTAGCTTCCGGCAGAGTCCACTCAGCGCATCTACAAATTCACCTGGCGGGCCTTTGTCAGATGGGCACGTAGAAATAAGGTGGATCCCCTAGAAGGACAGGTACCAGACATTCTAGCTTTCCTACAGGAGGGCTTGGAATGGGCTATGGCCAAACACCCTCCGCAGGCAGGTGGCAGCCTTGGGATCAGTTCTCAGATCAGCAGGAACTCCTCTGGGGTCCCTCTCCCTGGTAAGACTGTTGTTGTTGTTTTTTAAAAAATATTTATACTTGTACATCATACAAACATTGAATAAAATGAACAAATACTGTAATACAAAAACACAAGAAAATTCAAAAACAAAATTACAAGGATATAAACATAATAACATAAACTACAATCGAAAAAAGAAAAAAGTGACTTCCAACTAACTCCATGTGGATCTTTATTCCTCATATCACTGGTTGTCTGTAATGATTAAATTAAATTTAATCGGTAAGATGCTTTCTGAAGGGAGCAGCGCAGCTAAAACCACCCACGGTACACAGGTTCCTCTCTTGGAACCTCCACAGGGTACTGAAGGCACTCACAGGGCATCTCTTCATGCAGCTGTACTCTGTCCCCCTAAGGTTTTTGAGCTGGAAGGTCCTTTTCCTGGTGGCCGCAGAAGACAGACTCAGAATTCAAAATGACCTTAACAGATTGGAGGAGTGAATGTTGCTACTTACCATGGTAAGTTCCTTCTCTTTAGGGAAAATTGGGATCCATGATGATGTGGGCTTGTCTCTGCCTATCTCACTGGCAGAAAGCCTTAAAAAAACAAAACAAAAAAAACAACTTTGAGGATACTTCAGGGGAGAGACAAGTCGCTGTTGCTTGCAAAATCAGAGATTGTGATTCAATAGGTGGGTACTGGTTTCGTGTTTCAAATAGACAAAAATGTGGCTATGAAATCCAGGAAGTGGGGGTTCAGACACTGGATTGTGAGCACAAGCAACAGGCAGGGATTCTTAAATGCTTCTGTGCTTCATCAGATTTTTGTATGTGACCACCCATAGTTAAGAGTTATTTTCTCCTAGAATATGTAAAGTGATAAAGTAAAATCGGTTATTCATCATGCACATCCTGTGCGATGCAGAATACATGATCAAGTCCTTGTTGAATCAAAGTTATGCTGCTAACAAATTTAGGTTCTAGTGATAATGTTATTTACTGGAGCTTTATTCCTCCTCGCTTGGAAGTGGCTTCAGCTATCAAAGGGCTTTCAGGATTGGGAAATGCTGCCCAATAGAAATCAATCACTATTAAAATTGCAGCTGACCAGATGTGAAATCTGCCCAGTTTTAGGCCTACCATCAGGTTACATTATATGGATGCTCTTTCTTTTATACCTTGATCTTAAAATGCATGACATAAGCAAATTCAACTAGAATAAAAAGGAACAACTTCATCACCTCCTGGCAAATAGAAGGGGAAGAAATGGAGGCAGTGAGAGATTTTACTTTCTTGGGCTCCATGATCACTGCAGATGGTGACAGCAGTCACGAAATTAAAAGACACCTGCTTCTTGGGAGAAAAGCAATGACAAACCTAGACAGCATCTTAAAAAGCAGAGACATCACCTTACCAACAAAGGTCCGTATAGTTAAAGCCATGGTTTTCCCAGTAGTGATGTATGGAAGTGAGAGCTGGACCATAAAGAAGGCTGATCGCCGAAGAATTGATGCTTTTGAATTATGGTGCTGGAGGAGACTCTTGAGAGTCCCATGGACTGCAAGAAGATCAAACCTATCCATTCTTAAGGAAATCAGCCCTGAGTGTTCACTGGAAGGACAGGTTCTGAAGCTGAGGCTCCAATACTTTGGTCACCTCATGAGAAGAGAAGACTCCCTGGAAAAGACCCTGATGTTGGGAAAGATTGAGGGCACAAGGAGAAGGGGACGACAGAGGACGAGATGGTTGGACAGTGTTCCCGAAGCTATCAGCATGAGTTTGACCAAAGTGTGGGAGGCAGTGGAAGACAGGAGTGCCTGGCGTGCTCTGGTCCATGGGGTCATGAAGAGTCGGACACGACTAAACAACATGTTAGCCACATACAAAATTGCTTAGAAATCAAGCAGAAATTGGGCCATGGGCTGTTAAAAAGTGGATAGTTTTTGATTTAATGAACATCACTTCTGAGTAAGATTGTTGTTAGAGCTTTCTCATTAGAGCACAGAGCAGTGCATGGAAGGTTAGCCTTGTTGCACTTCTGACATTCTTTCCCACAGCCACAAGGGAGCAGATCAAAGCAAGTTAGGGAGGCATGATTTGTTTATCCTGCCTTTATTCAAGGACTCTTCATGCTTACTCCCTGCCTGGATTTCTCTACCATGTAACTCTGGCTGTGTGCTACCTCCGAATTGTTTTGTTTATTCAGGTTGGTCCATCCAGTCTCATTTCTATCATGTTCAGAGGCAGAAACACTGTTCAGTTACAGGTATGGGTTTGTTGTTAAGGGTATTCTAATGGGACTGTGAAGTCGTGGGTCCATTTCCAAAGAGGCTCTGTTGTAACCTGCATTTGTGATGTGGATGGTTAGCTTGTTCTAGCTAACGTGGCTTTAGGAGGCCCCGGCATCAACAACCAAACGAATGAACAGGTGCAGCAGTCACAAACACATGGATACACATGCTGCTTGGGAGATGTCTGTTCCAATCGGACTGATGTTGCATGCACAACCCTGTAAGAAAGGCCTCCTAGACAGGTTGCCTCTAATGTCAAGGACTTATCTTTGTCCCCTTAATGTGTAACATCTATGAACAGGACGAATTTGGACAAAAAATGGGGGAGGAGTGGCAGGTACAAGACACATTCTTGAAATTTCATGTGATAGAGAGTCCCAAGTGTTCTGCCGTTCTTCAATAGTTTCATCATAAGGCCCACACAGTAGCAATGATCTGATACACAACGAATACATTGAAAAGTATTGCTGTATATCTGAAGTTGAGACAAACACCAGCTTAGATCAGATGGATGTTGCCTAGGAAGTATGAAGATGAGTTTGTGATCATGGTTGGGAAGGTGGTTGGACCCAAGCCTTGGTACAAGGAATAGTAACGGTAGGAAATGCAAGCTTATTTTCCCAAACAACCCATGTAGCATGCATAAGAAGACCACCCTAAATCCCAGTGGCAATTTTATACATGCTGTTGCACCCTGCCTATGGTAACTTTAAGAAACAGGAAATTAGCTACTTTGAGGTTTCAAGCATGTTTTGAAGACCGAAGACATAGTAGCCATTGGTTTCAATACTGGGCAATTGTGATGGCAAAAATACTGTGCTTGGCACATGCGCTTTCTGTGAGAATGTTTCCTTGTGTATCTGGATGCGTTAATGGAACTATCTCATACATATACCATTTTTTGTTTTTGCATTTGACCATATAATTATGCATGCTGGATCCCACTTTATCTGAAACATAAGGCTAGATTATCAACATAGCATTTGCAAGTTGCCAAAGAACTTGGAAAGCTTTAGAAGAGAGTGAATTTGTTCATCCTCCATAGAAAGGAAATTGCAAACCCTTCTGCAGATGAGACACATTAAAAAATTGGAGAAAATTGGCCAATGCCATTTAAATGTGTTCATAAAATAACAGCTGATAGAAAGAACCAAACTAAATTGATGACAGTGCACATCATAACTAACTAACTAACTAACTAACTAACTAACTAACTAACTAACTAACTAACGTTATTTGGTACCTCAACAGCTAAGGGGTCAAAGAAAGGAATCAAGTTCACCTTAATGAAAAAGAGATGTAGAGCTCTTTTTGTAAATGTGTTGGCTGCCAAAAATGAGATGAGAATCTCAATGATATGTTCAGACGTGAAGAATCATTTCCTGGACTTAGAAAAACAACAGCCTCATCCACATGGAATGCTCTGCTGGAGCTTACTGATGTACTGCTAAAATTTGTCTGTTTACCATCATGTTACGTTACAGAATATGCTATGAATCCTGTTGGGAGGTTCATCATACTGCTCTACGACCAAACAAGCACCTGTGCTGAAGAACTCTGTGAAAAGTATTCTGCCAACACAAGCTGCTTTCAAAGGCTCGCTCTTCCTTCCCCAATAAGCTATAGCTGGAAGTGACTGGATAATGGACTAAATATGAGAACGATGTAAAACAAAAACACCATCTGAACATCAGTGTTTGCTAAATAATCTGCTTATGATGGCTCAGCTGTTGGTTGCAAAGCACTGGAAGAAATCAAGCTTTCCTTTTATGGATATGTGGCTTCAAAGTTTGGTCTCAACAAAGATTAGCCACTTTTAAAGACTGGGACAGTGGAAAATCCACACAGATAAATAATTGGATACCTTCTGTATTATATTGGAATGGAATTAAAATGTGAATTACATCAAGACACACTGAATATTGTATAAATTCATTATTTTATGAAAATACTAACAATTGTTAAATATATAGAGAAATTATTTGAAAAATTCAGAAATGCTACTTTTTGCATTCGGACAAAATCTTAAGGGCTTTTTGAGGTAATAACACATACAAAAAAAATAAAGAATCTGCTTACTTCTGTTAGCCTCTAGCCAGCACCAGGGGGCCATGATGGTTAGGGATGTAAGGGCCTTGTGCCATTTTTTTACTTTAAAAATACAGGTAACTTGCAGCTTATGCACATTTAACTTTAGTGCATTCAGCTTTACATGGTTGGCAAAACAAGTTAGAAAGGGGGCGATTGTCTGGGGGGAAAGACTTTGGCAATCCCACCTACCCACTGTGTTTTGACGATATGCTATTTTGGCTTTACGCACTATCCCCAGAACGTAACCCCTGTGTAAGTTGAGAATGGTTTGTAAATAAATCTGAGAATATTTCAGCCCACAGAGCAGTTTCTTACCCACTCAGCCACAGCAGCAGATAGAAATCAGGCATATGGGACATTTGTCTTCCATCAAGCAGTAAACCTATACAGTGGCATATGAGTTACAGGAGACTTAGCATAGTGCAACTGCTCAGGTTTTGCATGACGTCCAGCCCCACTCTCAACCATAATGCATTCAGACCAGTGTTTGCACAATTTGTGTACAAGCAAAAGGTAAAGGTAAATGACCCTGGTCAGTTAAGTCCAGTCAAAAGCGACTATAGGGGACGGCCCTCAGGTCAGCTTTTCAGGTCAGCTTTCCAGGTCATGTGGCCAGCATGACTAAACCGCTTGTGGAAGCTGGAGCACACGGAAACGCCGTTTACCTTTTCACCGCAGCGGTACCTATTTATCTACTTACACTAGTGTGCTTTTGAACTGCTAGGTTGGTAGAAAGCTGGGACCGAGCAATGGGAGCTCACCCTGTTGCACGGATTCGAACTGCCAACCGTCCAGTCGGCAAGCCCAAGAGGCTCAGTGGTTTAGACCACAGTGCCACCCACATCCCTATGTACAAATTGTGTACATAAATGGGACTCCAGCAAAAAGCAGGGCTATCCACGTTCCTCAATTATTTTCTCGGCTCTTTTCCTTTCCCTACACTTCCTTTAGGATACTGTTTCTTTGTTTATACATTACCTACATTTACTTAATCCTCTTGAACTCTTATTTTAGATTACCTGCCTCCCAGTACCTCTTCCCAGTCTATCCAAATTAATAAATGGTAGATTTAAAAGTCTTTTTGTGTGTGTTAGCATGTCCCCACCCCAGCCTAGCTTTCTTTGATCCAAATGTTTAACACTGCTGGTCTCTTCTTTTAAACAGATATCATTTCTAATCAAGGACTGTGGACCTGAAGAAACTAAGTGTAAGTAGCTTCTGTTTTCTGAGTACTCTGTTTCCCTGTGCTTGTGGAGTAGCACATTATTTTGTCTCAAAAATGCCAAGCTGCGGAAAACCGGGATGCCTGTCTTCTGGATCCACGTTGTTGTGTGAATCATGTGACCCACATGAGAACATGCCGCCCCCCCCCAAAAAAAACAGGATGTCCTGATTTAATTGGGACAGTTAAGGGGTATGCAAGCCAGCAAAAACTAGCCAAGATTAGATAGTGGCATGCTACTTACTGGTAGCAATGAACAGAAAGAGACGCCTGGTTTGCACTAGAACTTTCAAACTGGGCTGCTTATGTTCCTTTTGTTATTTTTCTGTGCACGTTCATCTAGAAGGCCCACATAACTCAGTTAAATTACTGAACTTACATATGTAGAATCTCAAGTTGCAAGAGAAAAGATAGCAACACACCTTTTGGGGTGGTTTGCTATGGTCTGAATTCTAAAAGAAAGATTCAGCCCAACTGTCAGGCATAAACAGAAATAGCACAGGATGTGGGTGCACAGGGTCATTTTACGACGTGAAAATGTACATAATTTTGCATTGCCTTGTTACCACACACTGTATCTTCAATAAAGTTTGGCAGTCATTTTGCTTGAATGTGTATTTTTGTCAAACTCCCACAAGACTGGCCAGGCAGGTCTTACAGTCTCACTCTTAATCATGGCTCCTCACACATTCAAATTCACATTAAAAAAACAACAACCCACATTCTGTCTACCTCCAGCTTTATTTCATCCAATATATCAGTTTCCTGGTATTTGTTTTTTGTTGATTTATTTTCTGGCCTGAAACAGAACTACAGTATATGCAATTATATTCTACAACAATTCTTTGATTGTTACTTCTGGTTTGGTAGCCTAGAGGTCTTCCTTCTCTGCCTCTCCTTTTCTGTATCCAATTGTAGTCCCAGAATAAAAAGACAGACTCTTGTCAAAAGCTGTAGCCCACCAGCCATATTTGGGCGTTTGGTTCCACCTGACTATTTTGTTGCAATCCAATTGTGACTGGGAACAACTCCCCCTCGTTACTGTGCTATGTGATGCTTTCAAATGAGCATCCTTATTCATTCTGCAGTCCCTAAGCCCTCTGACCAGGCTTTGTTTGGAGGTGTCAGGGAGGGAAGTGTTCTTTTTCTGCTCTTATATGTAGTCTGCTGTACTGCAGTTCTGTAGTCACCTGATTTTGATTTATGAGAGTAGCATTTCTAAGCTGGTAATAAGTAGACCATTTATACTATTCCTGAAGTCAGGGTGAGCCTGCCTCATTAATTATTGTTCTGAGAATGGGTTACATAAGTCATGTACAGGCAGGGATGTTGCCAGAGGGGAAGGCAGAACTACTCAGGTGCTCATGAATTCAGCAAGCCACCATCTGGTTTTGGCAGTCTAGCGGGTTGGAATCTCCTTAAAAGTGCAGCACAACTTACATTAATTGTAGCAAATCCTATGTAAAAATTGATGGGGATATCCTAGTAAATCCCTACAAGTGGGCATGCCGTTCACATTCTGCTCTATTCCATGTTTCTCCTATGCTTTCCAGTCTAAGATACAAACATATACAAATGTGCTTGGAGCAGCTTGATTTTCTCTCATTCCACTGCCATTTACCTGGGAGCGAACACCCTTAAACTCAATTGGACTTACATCTGAGTAAACACGGTTAGGAATGTGCTGCTAGACTGCAAATCATTTGGAAGAGAAGTAGTGCTTCCCTGAGTTTAAATAAACTTTGACATAGAATCACAGAACTAGTCCAACCCCCTGCAATGCAGGTATCTCAACTAAAGCATCCATGACAGATGGCCATCCAACCTCTGCTTGAAAACCTCCAAAAAAGGAGAGTCTGCCACCTTCCAAGGAAGTCTGTTCCACTGTCAAACAGTTCTTACTTTCAGAAAGTTCTTCCTGATATTTAGTCAGAATCTCATTTCTTGTAACTTGAAGCCATTGGTTTGGGTCCTACTCTCTAGAGCAGGAGAAAACAAGCTTGCTCTACACCCAACTCCCTCAACTATTCCTCATAGGTTGGTTTCCAGACCCTTGATCATCTTGGTCACCCTCCTCTGCACACATTCCAGCTTGTCAATATCCTTCTTAAATTGTAGTGCCCAGAGCTGGACACAGTACTCAGCTGTGGTCTACCATTACCTCCCTTGATCAGGACACTATATCTGGGCATAAAGTTATAATTAAAAAATGGGAACTAACAAAATTACTTGGCACAAATGACAAGGGTAAGTAATAGCGGTATGTTGGTGCACTTCTAATTAACAAATTCTGGGCAATTTAAATCCACACATGCATATTGTACCTTCCTGCTGACAAGCAGGAGCCACTTCATATAGTAAGTAATTAACAGCAAGCCTGGGAATTGATGCACTATTTCTAAACTGATTTCATCTTGCCAAATAGGTACTCACAAGAACAGCTTCTCACATAAAGATTTGCAGTTGAATAATCCCTGCAATAGTTGTGGCAACCAAGGCTTTGTACACATGCCAGTTTTAAGTGGATTTCATGCATCGCTCGTGGGTATGTTTTCGTGTTGTCCACAGAATGTTGTCCTCGTCCAAGTGAGATGGTAGTCCAGCAGCCCACACTTTATCAGTAAACCACATATTTAATAGAGAGAAACAGCTAATGAGGTAAGGGGGGATGGGGAAATCCAACATAAAATTGCATGCTACCCAGCTGTGGACATACTGAAGTGCCTTGTGTGGGTGGGTTTTAAAAACTTACACTGGCTGCCCATTGGTTACCAGGCTAGATTCAAAGTTCTTGTGCTAATTTGCAAACTCTGTAATCATTTGGATCCAGGATATTTTAAGGACTGCTTGATCCCTTCTGTCATTACCCAATCACCGAGATCCTTAGGGGAGTCTTTGTTGGTGGTCCTTCATGGCTCAGCTGCACAGCTCATTATTACTAGAATCCATGCATTCGTTGCTGTGCTCCCCAGCCTGTGGAACGTCCTCCCAGCTGTGATGAGACACTGGCACCATCCTTGTTGAACCTCAGGTGCATGACCAGTATTTTCTTATTCCAGCAGCCATTTTATGGTAGTGTCTGGGTTTCTGTTTGGTTTAATGACAAATTCTTACTGTATGGTTTATTTTTATATACACCAAATTGCTAATGATTAAGTGGTATATAAAGGTAAAGTAAAGGGACTCCTGACCATTAGGTCCAGTCGTGGCAGACTCTGGGGTTGCGGCGCTCATCTCGCTTTATTGGCCGAGGGAGCCGGAGTACAGCTACGGGTCATGTGGCCAGCACGACTAATCCGCTTCTGGTGAACCAGAGCAGTGCACGGAAACGCTGTTTACCTTCCCGCAGGAGCGGTACTATTTATCTACTTGCACTTTGACGTGCTTTCGAACTGCTAGATTGGCAGGAGCAGGGACCGAGCAATGGGAGCTCACCCCGTTGCGGGGATTCGAACCGCCAACCTTCTGATCGGCAAGTCCTAGGCTCTGTGGTTTAACCCACAGTGCCACCCACATCCCAAGTGATATATAAATGCACCAAATAAATAAATATCAGGCGTTGACAAAAGTCTGTATCCAAATAGTTGGGTTCTGGGAACTAGAGGAAGCTGTCTGTCAAAGCGGTCAGAAGCAGATGCATAGGCAGGGGTCTAGTTTCAGGGCAGCAGTCGAGATAGGGACATCTCCCTTATATTAATGCAAATGAAGCTGTTCGCTGAAAACTAATAAAGTAATGCTCTTTTAAAGTTGGTTTCAAGGCAGCGCTTTTCAAGTGATGCACTTCTCAATTTCACCGTGAGTACTGGATGTAGCTGCTGGGAAGAAAGACTTCGGATAGGAGGAGCATCTCTTAGATGGGGCAGCTGGAAGGGAAATGTAGGAAAGTCATCACTGCCAATTTGTCCAGATGCTTCTCTAGTGATCTCTGCACACTCCTGCACTCCCAGCACTCGGGTGTGGGTGTGGGTGCTATCACGCAGATGACCACTATTCCTCAATACCCCAGAGAGCGCCTGTGGATTCCAGACTTCTTGTGGCTCGATTTGGTTTTTCTTCTTCAGCAGCTGTGCCACCAATTCTACCAGCACTACTGCGACTACTGATCCCACATGATTCAGAGTGGTTCACAAGAGGCTGACCGGCCAAATAGCAAAGGTTGTCAGGTCAGTTCCAGCTCAGGCCAGCAGTTCCTCACTTCTGGGTTAAAAGAATGACTTTCAAAATGGCCTACTCAACACAATAAGTCCTAAGTTCATCCTGCTTTACTAGTTTGGCATTTAGAAAGTTTTTGCCTAAGGAAAGAAGGGAATGTGAACAAACTGACAACACCTGTAGCAACTCTATTATGCAATTTGGACACTAGATGCATATGGCTTAACCTGGTGGGGCTGGGAAAGCTGCCCACACATTAGTATTGCACAGAGAGAGTTTGTGGTGCCAGTTTTCTAATCCATTTTTTCTAATCCATCCTATAAGGCAGCTAGCTTCCTCATGAGGTCATCGCCTGGGATGGTGGGCCATTAAGAAGAACAAAAGGCAATGGGTCATTAAGAGAACAGAGGAAATGGGGTTCTGTGCCAGATGGCAAATGGGTGCGGGCCCTCTTCCAGCTCTCTGGTAGAGAAGGACAAAAGCCTGAGTTTGAAAGCAGATTTTGTGTTATGTGAGCTAGAAGCTGAAAAAAGGCAGCAAGCAGAGCATCAGAGAGCAATGTTTGATTTCTGATTGAATCTATGGCTGCAGCTATTAGAGAAACAAGACCCTTTTAGGGTGCTGATGCTGTAGGCTCAGGTTGTAAATAAACTATATATCAGAAAGACACCACAGTCTCTGCTGTCCCTCAATTCCAAAAGGAAACATGGACCCTGAGTGAGTGCCTGGAATCCCTGGAAGCTTGCTCAGAAATTGGGTTAGTCAATAATATTTTAGTCCACAGGGTGCCTTACACAAATTTACCTTTTGTGTTGTTGCCACATCTATAGGTTATGTCCTAGCTCCTGTCCAAAACATGTGGATAAAGGCTCTTATTTAAGCAATAGATCTTTGTTCAGACAAGTAACAGCCATTTTCAGTTTATAAACCAAGGCTCCCTAATTCTTCTGAATAGGACAATAAAAAAGCAAACTGGAGCTGGTACTTTAAGACATGAAAACAACCAAGGTATCAAACACCACTATCATACGCTGGCATTAATTATGAGAGATATAAAACTAGGTGAAATGAGAGCAAAGTATTTAAAATGCTTTTTAAAAAAGTTTTGACATTCCTACTTGCTAGTTAACAAATGGAGCAATGCAGATAAGAGCTTAAAAGAGAGTAGAAAATTGTCAGAAAGACAGCAAGAAGAAAACTATCCATTCATTTGCACAAAAGCTACCGGTCACAAATGAAGTGATACACATTGGGGCAAAACAATTGCTAATGGAGTCTGAGCTGGTGGTGACAGACCAAGAAGGAAACCTTGAGTTTGTGGTTAATAGCTCAATAAGGTGATGACCCAGCATGTGGCAGCTATGATAGAGAAATTTCATGTAAGGGATCATTAGGAAAAGGATTGAAAATAAAACTGCCAATCTCTATGGATTAACCATGATTGGAATATTGTGTAAAGTTCTGGTTGCCCCACTTCAAAATGGATACAGTGGTACCACTTTAGCTAATGGAGCCTCCCGCTGCTGCCACTCCACCTCCACGCAATTTCTGTTCTCATCCTGAAGCAAAGTTCTTAACCTGAGGTACTATTTCAGGGTTAGAGGAGTCTAATCTGAAGCGTCTGTAACATGAAGCGTCTGTAACCTGAGGTACCACTGTATTGTATAACTGGAAAAGGGCAACCAAAATGATCAAAGGGGACAAAGTGACTTCCCTATGAGGAAAGGTTACAGCATTCGGATTTTTTATTTTACTTCAGAGAAAAGGCACATGAGACATGACAAATATATAAAATTATACATGGTGTGGAGAGTAGATAGAGAGTAGTTTCTCTCCCTCTCCATGTTAGAACCTGGGGCAATGCAATAAAGCTGAAAGTTGGAAGATTCAGGACAGACGAAAGTACAGAGCATTTCCTGCTCCTACAGGAAGTAGTAATAGCCACCGGCTTGGAAGACTTTAAAAGATTAGACAAATTCACAGATGATAACGGTATCAATGCTGTTTACTTGATGGTACAGTATATCCTCCATTGTTGAAGTCAATACAGTATGTGTCAATACCAGGGCTGCAAGTGGGGATGGTGCTCACGTCCTGCTACAGGCTTCCCACTGCCATCCAGTTGGCTACTGTGAGAACAGGATGCTGGATTTAGATGGGCCTTTGGCCTGATCCAGGCCTCTTAATTTTTTCCAGATAGTCTCTCCAAGTGACTGGGGTGGCACATAATGTGTTCATTGCTACAACTGACACTCCAGAAAATGATGTTGAGATAATCCTGCTTTTTCAATCATTGCTAAAGCTTAACTCCCACACAACTGGGCATTACCAAGTTCTGTAATTTCATATAGTGTGTAATGGTTGAGATAATCCTCTATAATCCTATAAGTTTATTCCGTGAGTCGCAGGATACCTCACAAACCTCCTTGTGTACATTTTCTTATGGTGAAAGCCTACCCACCATCTCTTACACTGGATAAACTGAATGTGCACCAATACAATATGAAGGTGCTGTAAGAGATGGACATCAGAAGATGATAGCTGGGTATAGAAGTTTTCCATAAAGAAATCAAGTCAAATGTGCCTATAAACAAAATATCTGCAATCAAATGCTTACTCTAAGTAGTCAATCGCCAAAAATAAAAGTGTATTTAAAAGCAATTTGAAGTCCACTATAGATACAAACTGGGATAAATATATCCAATTAAAAGTGTTGCTGGAAAAGGAACAGCAAAAGTAACAGAAGTTAGCTTCAAAGTGAAGCTAAGCTCCCGATTTCTCTATCATATCCGAAGATCACAGGGCAGTTCACAACACACACAAAAAACCAAAATGAGAACACAAAATACTTAATAAAACAAAAACAAAACCAATAATCCTCTTTCCACAAACACATTTTAAAGGCCACAGAATGTCAATCAGCCAAAGCCCTGGTTATAGAGAAAGGCTTTTGCCTGGTGCCCAAAGCTATAAAATGGGGCTTTCCCCCCATATGCAAAAAGCTAAAAGATCCAATGCAACCTTCAGCCAAATGATTTATAGACACATGAACAAAGAGATGAAGTGAAATATCTTGGGACCTATAGCAGATACACCATGCAGGAAAAGTCACATAGCTGGCTGCATACCTGCAAGAAATTTGGGTGGTTCAAAAGTATTTGCCAATGCACGTGAAAAGTTGCGAACGTGCCCGTACAGATCTTAAACAGACACTGTGTGCCTTGCAAGGCACTTGTTGCTTGCTGATAATATAATTTCTGAAGAGATACCTCCTCCTGGGGAGCATAGATTTCCCCACTAGGGCACAGAGCCTGCTTGCACAACCATCTACGGGGGTGGGGAGAGAATTAGTTTTATTACGAGCTACTGTCTCATTTCCTGACTTATGCCCCAAAGAGGGGAAAACACTGTGGAGGACAACCACACACAAATATCTCTAAGCACAGTGGAAGAAGAACTCAGCGGGGCAACATCTCAGCAGTAGAAAGACTTCAGGCATGAAGGTCCCACGAGCCTCTTTTCATCCAGCACGTAAAGACATTGGGAGCTGCTGCCCCTGTGGATCTTGCTTCCCGATGCAGTCGCCTCACCTTTGCCTCATGGGCCATGAGCGTGGACGTTGGACTCCACGCGCGAGCCGCCCGATTGCTCCCCGCCTTCAATTTACCCGCCGGGGAAAAAACCGCCCACCTGCTTACCGCGTGGCCACCACATGAATGAAGAAGGCCTCGGCCAATAAGAGGCAAAGGAATAGGCTCCACCCCACCCCTGACTGCGCACGCGCGAAGGGACCGGCTCCTCTGTGTGGAGGAGGGCGGTTTCGAGGAGAAATAATGACTTGAGTAGGCCTCCGCGAGCGTGGACTCCCCGCGAGCTGCAAAACGTCCAATGGGAGGGCGCGCGGGGGAAGTGGCCAGCCAATGGCTACGCCGCGGGGGCGGGGCTGTTCCGTGGGACAGGCCCGGCGGAAGCCGGGCGGGCTCATTCTCGCCTCAGCCGTCTCGTCGTTGTGGTCGCAGGAGCTGCGGCGACGCTATGGGGGCCTCAGATTCTTTCTTGTCTTCCTACGCCGGCCTCTTCTACTGGGTCGGGGTGTCGAGCGTCGCCTACTTCGTGTGGCTGCAGCTTCTGCGCGTAGTTTATGCCGTCCGCCTGTGGGTGCTGGGCAACCCGGCGGCGGTGGGCCCGCACCTGGGTGCGTGGGCAGGTGAGTCTACCCGCCCTCGGCCGCGCCGGTGCCCCTTGGCTGGGAATTCTCCAGTGGAGGCCTCGGCAGCCAGCCCCCGTTTCCCTCCCTTGCTCCCTCGAGGTCTGGCCGGTGCCTTCCCCTCCTAGGCCTCTGTTCAGCCCCAGCAGTTCTCGGCTGCCTTCGCTTCTTCTCCCCACTTCGTCAAACTCGCGCACGCCTTTTCCCTCCTGCGCAAGTGTGTTTGTGTCTTCCCCTTTTATGTTGGCGGGTGATAACTTTCGAGCGTTTCTCCTTGTTTTGAGAGGAGCCCTCCTGGCTCACCCCTCCTCCTTAACTGGCAGTGGACGGGAATAAAGTGCGGTACACACTCAAGGTCACTCGCCACTGATTAGCCGATCACTTCACATCCTGCTGATGCTGCTTTTCTGTAATCGGCGCTGTGGCAGATTTGGGGAGGGGATAGTAAGGCTGTACTTTAATTGTTTAAATTTTTCTGCCCAGCGAAAGCTTCAGCTGCACAGTAAGATTCATAAGATTAGTTCTTGCTTTTATACTTGTAGTCAGGGTTTTAAAAAAACCTCTTTTCTGATGCATACTTCTAGAGATAATGTTTTTAGTGATGTTGGTTATTGATGTGGATGGTTTTCTGGCCATATGCATTGGAGGGGGGAGACATTATCTTGTTAAGTGTTGTGATTCCGTTCCATCATAGACATTTAGAGTTCAGAAGCAGGAATTGGTAGTCATTATAGATTTTTTTGATCCAAGGAAAGTGGGGATAATCCTTTGTATCTATCCGCCTTTTGGCCCTTTCTCCCAAGAAATATTTATTTAGGGTCATTATTAAATTTATGTAAGACATCTTACTGGCAGAATGGAGCTTACTAGAATAGTTTTATCCTGTGCTTGGATCCCTTAAGGGTTCGGATGCCTATGGTATACTGAGGTTATCTTATATATACCCCAATTTTCTACAGTTGAGAGTTACTTGACATAGCTTCCAAGATTTTTTTTAAAAGGAAAAGCAATAATAAAGCCAAAGCTTCAGAAATGGAAATTTAAAGCAGAATTAAAAGAACATAAAGCAGGAACTTTTTTGGAGCTTTTGTATAATGTAAAGGATCTCATTAGGAGCCAAGTAAAAAAAAAATCAGAGTTATGCTTTTGTTTGATTGCTCTGCAACTGACCTGTATGAGTTTTTGAAACATGCTCTCTTTTATGTTAATGTAATCAATAGATTTAATTCTTGGCCCTACTAAACTGCCAGTGTATTATAATATATGCATCTTAGGGTCATGAATAATGTAGATTTTTCCCCCTTAAGAAATTAAAAAGCCATGTAGAATTGCTTTTATTAAACCAGCTTCTGTGCTTGTCAGTATATGCCAGCTTGTAGCTCTTGATTTATTTGGAATTCTTCACCAATAGTACCTTAAAAATTTAATTAATCCTACGTCTCCGTCCCACTCTCTGAACTATGCACAGATTCATCTCCTGCAATAGCTAAAATAGCATCCTGTGTGAGGCAAAAAGGCATTACTTGTTTAACTCTGCCACATTTGCTTCTAGTAACAACTCCAAGTGCCCTTGATACACACTTTTGTTGGCATATTTTGCTCTGATTTCATTTAAGATGTTGCTAGCCTTGTCTTTATTGCTCTTCTATAGTACTCTTGTGATACACTTTTGTATTATGGGCAGGTTATTCTGTAGTGCTGACACAGCAATCCTGATGGCAGTACTGACTGTTGTGTAGTGGCCTGGGGCAGTTTATATTGTGATTTTATGGGGTTTTGGGTGCCATAAATTAAGTGCTATAATTTAATCAATGCTTTGCTGCATTTAGCTGTGTAAAAATATAGGCCAGCCTGATAATGGCCGGTTTGTTAAGCAAACAAAGGCAGGGAATATGAGCCATTAACAGAGACTCTCTGTGCTGGACAGCGAATGGGTGGAGCTCCACTCTGAGCTGTGGGTAGTTAGCAGAAGACATTACCAGAGTTTTTAGAAGGGAGTTTCAGGATTGCAGTGGGAAATGATGTAAACTGGAGGGGAAATAGTTGTAAGTTGCAGCAGGCTGGTGAAAGTGGGGAGAGAGCACAATGGGGGCAGACAATGTGAATCCAAGGCTGCAGAAATGGAAGAAATGAAACCCTCTTGGAGTGTAATCCTGGAAGCCCCTACACCATAGGTTTAGGTTGTATATACAGTGTGTATAAATAAACCATGTATCTTAAAGACACCACAGTCTCTACTGTGCCTTATTTCCAAAAGGAAACACAAACCCTGGGTAAGTGCCTGACACCTGAAATCTTGCACTGCTGTGGAGATTGGGGTGGTGTGCAACAGTAAGAGAAGAGGTGAAGTTTTTCTGGCACTGGGAATTTCAGTACGCAACCCCATGCTCTTCATGCAGTGATGCATGCATTACGACCATACTCATTTACCGTATTTTTTGCTCTATAAGACTCACTTTTTCCCTCCTAAAAAGTAAGGGGAAATGTGTGTACGTCTTATGGAGCGAATGCAGGCTGCGCAGCTATCCCAGAAGCCAGAACAGCAAGAGGGATTGCTGCTTTCACTGTGCAGTGATCCCTCTTGCTGTTCTGGCTTCTGAGATTCAGAATATTTTTTTTCTTGTTTTCCTCCTCCAAAAACTAGGTGCGTCTTGTGGTCTGGTGCGTCTTATAGAGCGAAAAATACGGTATGTTAACTGAAATTCATGTTTTGTCCCAGAGTGTATCTTTGCCTAGTATCACTTGTGGAAGATATAGAAGTTTGATATTTCAAAATACTCATTCCAAAATGGTTGATGCGGCCAATGTGTAAAATGCAAAAGGAACAAGAACCCTAACTTCACACCACTCTCCACAACTCTTTACCCCTCTCTGTATCCCATAATATTCATTCTTGTCTTTCTGCAGTAGTACATATTCTGCATCCCTATCTTTCCCCTTTTTTCTTGTCTCTTTCTCATCTCCATCCCATCTTTATTTCTTCTGAGTCAGGAGCTGGAGTTTCACAACCAGTTTTCATTATTGCAATACAGTAATTCTCACTGTCTCAATCCGATTAGTCAGCTTCCAACAGACTGAAAAAACCTAGTTCTAACTCCATCAGATCCTTCTAACTTCATGGTAATACTGGGAAACCGGTTTGGCCTGCAGATTTGCAGAGAGAGATAGGAAAAGGCTATGTATGGCTGAAGCTGCACATAGTTAGGAAGAGGACAATGGTCTGCGCTTGGGCCTTACCTTGAACAGGCTTGTGCTAATGTAATGTTTTTGTTTTCATACAGTAAAAGGTCCAAAGAAAAATACGTTTTACATACTCATTTTTTTCCTAGATAATGTTTTGGGAACACAAGCATGTTGTGTGCTAAAAAGACACTTAGATACTTGTACAAAAGTGCAAAATTTTAAACAGTTCACAATATAACGGTGTCATGTTAATTGTCTTAATACAAATCTAGGAATCAGATGAACCACTTTTTAATCCATTCTTAAAAATTTAAATATAAGTTTCTGAGGAAAAAAAACATACAACTTGATGGCTGAGTATAGGCATACTAATTTAATTTTATAATCAGTTCCATTTGGCAGCTTCCTTTTTTAAAAAAAATGATATTTATTGAATTTTTTTTTTAAAAAAAATTACACAAAAAGAAAAACAAGACAGAAAAATAAAAAATAAAACCATCATTCTCAAATTCTCCACTTTCAATACCTTCTTTCTTTGACCTCCTCCTCCTCCCTTTTCTTGTATCCTGATTAATAATAATCGCAGCAAATCCTTTCCATAATTCATAGTATTCTGTCATTACATTACTTTAATCTATTTTCATCTTATCTTATAGAAAACCTTAAAGTTTAAAACTTAAATCTTATTTTTACCAACTTCTCCTAGCCATAACATTCTTACCAAATTCTTTAGACATTTTTACAAGAGCCAAGTAATTTCATTTCAACATTTTTCTAGCATTCACCAATTTTATAGAACAATCCTAATGATAAAAAAAAAGAAATAAACAATCCAATCTTCATCCAGCGTCCCTTCCTCCTGGTCCCGGGTTTTGTCAGTCCTTTTATCTTATTAATCTAGCACATTAACCTGGTAATCTTATATCCGAAGCCCTCAAGTCTCTTCCGTGTCCCTTCCGCAGCTCTTCTTCATATTTTCCTTTCATTCGTGGGAACTCCAGCTTGGTAATGTTTTTGACCCTTTTCAACAAATCAGCCCCTTTTCCATAGTCCAGACTAGACTCCATGTGGTATTTAAAAACATGTTTCAGATTCCCTCCAAAATTGAGAGCCCCCACAGCTCCAAACATCTGACGGCCCATTGCCAGACTTGAAAAGTCCAAATCTCCCTGTATAGGGGGGTCTGTCCAACCCCCATTTCCAAACCAAACCAAACTTTATCTTTCCAAGTCTGGTTTTTTCCAAGTTCATTTATCAAATCCAAAAATTTATGTTCCTGCTGGGCCGCAGCTCCCTCCGTCTCTGGCGCCCAAGATTCAGCAGCATCCTCTTCTCTCAACTGTTCTGTCATGGCACACTCCTGTTTTAGCTCCTGGGTGGGCTCCATATAATTTCCCACTACCTGTTCAAAGGTTCTGGCCGCTTTAGTCATCAAATCCGTCTTCTGGCTTAACTGATCCAATAGGGCATTTATTTTGCAGAGAGCACCCAACAGTGCTTCTGAAGACATTGTCCTGCAAGGTCACAAATCCTTTCCCACGGTTGTAATCTGTGGCAGCTGCAAGCTCCCAGGAATTAGTTACAATTTCACAGTCCCCCTCTAGGGGGAAATCTTCTGGTTGTTCTTTCTTTTAAAAACAATAGCAACAACGTTTCTTTTTAAAGGTATTTTGTCCATATTTGTTCTTTTAAAATGCAAAAGGAAACAGTGGAATCACTATGTTTCTCTTCTTTTAACTATCTGTCAAAGACATTTGTTTCTGGTCAATGAGCTTCAAACGTCAATTCTGACACCCCGCTCCAGGATCAGGACGGTGGAAAATTACTTTGCTTTAAACTCACTTCTGCAGGTTTAAACAGCCCAAAAAAGATCCCCCTTCTTCTCCTGCTGCCGAAGGGGGGTTCAGCGATTTTAAATGATGAAAGCCAATCCTTTGAAAGTGATTTTTAAAGCTCTAGTTTACGTTGTCTTTGCTTTATTCTGGCTACAAGGAAACGGAAGGCTGACTTCCTGTTTAGATCTTCCCGTTTCAGTATCAAATTAAGGTAAATTTTTAAGTCCAAATTCCTTTCTATTTCGCCAGTTCTTATTTAAAGTCCAAATGTTCAATGTTCCAGTACTCACGGGTGGTTATTTTAGATGCCAAATTGTCCCAGGAAAAAGGCAGCGCTCTCCGGCAACGGCTATGTGGCTTCGCTCCGCAGAAAAAGCAATTGACTCACAGCACCTCGCCACTTCCCCCTCTTCGCTTCGGAGCCCGTTAGTGGGTTCCTTTGCGGGTTGGGGGGGGCGCTAAGGGTGCCCGCCGAGTCCCACGGTCACAGGCTTCATCCGCCTGTGATTTCCAAAAGGGTCCCCGCTTCGCCGTAGCGGAAAAGACCCATTTCATGCGGAGCTGGTCCCTCCAGTTCAGAGGGAGTCCGCCATTGCCGATGGCGCCACCCCGGAAGTTCCCCATTTGGCAGCTTCCAAGACTTTCCAACTTTTGCAATCAAATTACATAATATTTTTCCATTAGTTCTTTTCTGCCACACCAAAACAACCTTTATCCTGATATCACTGACCTGATAATTCCATCAGCCTATCAGATAATGTGTGGATGTGCCTGTCTGTAGCTCTACCTAGGAGATTACGGTACATCTTGTGAAAACTGCATAATCTTGATCAGTTGTTCCCAAATCTCACCCCCTCTTTAAAAATGCTTAGGGAATTGGCAGAGCCGTCTTTGCTCCTTTTTCCTTTTTCCTTTTATAGCAGTGGTAATGCACTGTGCTATATGCCTTAAGATTTTTTTTAAAAAAAGGCTTTTTATATCTTACACTCTATTTTATTGTAGTACAATTTGAATTCCACAGAATTCTGTAGAATTCAAATTGTAAGCGTTCTTCACAGGCATGCTGTGGACCACACAAACAAAGCTGATGGTCTGTGGACCACAGTTTGGGAACCCCCCGTCTAGGTAAATGATTATCAGAGAGTACTGAAACATGGGCATATTGTCCATGCGCTTAAGAGATACACTACAGACATTATTTCTGGACTTTGCTCATGCTGTTGACAGTCCACAAGCTGCTTCTCACTTTCTCAAATAATGTGACATGTTTTGTGCCTTAGGCAAATTGCTCATTCTACACATGTAGCCACATACTTGAGATTATAGTTGAGAGCAACCTCGAGTAAAACAGAGCACTTTTCCAAGTTAACCAAGGGTGGTATTCAAATAAGGTTTACTCCGAGTAAACCCAGAGAAATTAATCAACCTATTTTTGTCACTTGAATTTTTATGAGTCTTCTCTGATAAGAAATAGCTGAATACAACCTTTAGTTTCTTTACCTCCTTACTACTAGCCTGCTGTATGCAAAAGTAACATCCAGTGATGTACACCAGTTTGCCCAGCAGATCTTCTGTCTTCTATTTTCCCTTCCTGAACAGATTTTAGGGGCACATGGGGGCGTGGAGAGGAAGACAAAGCCCAGATGTGCAGGTGGATGTCTGCTTGCACTATGGTTTGATCTTGCTCATATCGGCCACTAAAGGTCCTCGGGGTTACATTTACATTAACAAAAAACATCAGGCAACTATATTAAAATTAAAACTTGTAAGAATTACTTCAGCCAGAGATAGCCTATCCACATACCTCTCTCATTATTTAAGATAGAGACATAAAACCATCTTTGTTTCCAATAACATTGTGGTTTGTCCATATAGTCCATATAGGTAAGCCAAAATTCCACTCCTTTAATACATGCTTTGAGGTGGTTCCAATTTACTGTGTGTTGAAACACAGCTAGTTTGGAAACTTGTACCTGTACCTGTCTTCCAGAAAAGTACCTCTCAGTTTTAACATTCGGGAACTGGACATGTTAATCCAGATAAAATCTTAATAGCCTGGAATAAACAATCTCGTTTTCCTCTGCACAGCTGTCTCTTGTTCCTCAGTCAGGAGTGCTGGACAGCACAAAGCCATTGTGAAGAAGTTGTTAGAGTGCTGAGCTAGGACCTGGGAGGCCAGGATTCAGGTCCCTACTCAGCTTTGAAGCCTACTGGGTAAGACTTTGGGCTAGTCATTGTCTCTCAGCCTAACATACCTCACATGGTTATTGTGAGGATAAAATAGAGAGGGGAAGAAGTGTTTCCTCTTCGTTAGCTCTTTGGGAATAAAAGGTGGGCTATAAATGTAATAATAAATAAAATCCCCAATTTGTCTACACCCATGCACAAAATACACAAATTGTGCACCTCTAGGAGATATTCATGCCACAGCATAAGGCAGAGGTCTCCAACCTTTTCAGTCCACAACTCCCTTAACCATCTACTGTACACTCTTTCTGTGGCACCCCTGTGGGGCTCAGGAACCCAGTTATGTCACCCCTTGCCTGCAGAGTTGGCTTCCTCTCACCTTTTTGCAAACACCCTCCCTTGTGGAGTGTTCCCTCAGCCTCTTCTCTCCCCTCTCCTTGGGAGTCCTGCTGCTGCCCCTGGTCTCTGAGCTGCCCCACTCCCTGCCCCAAAGAAAGGTGGTTCCCAGAGACACCTTTTAGTCTGCAGAGTTTACAGCCAGGGCTGTAATAATAAGCTGTGCAAGCCTTTGGGAGGCAGAGACATGAGAGAGCATCAGAGGAGGGAGGGAAGAAAAGAGGGACAGAGGTAAGTGTTGCCCGTGGTACCCCTGACCATCATTCAAGGCACCCCAGGGTGCCATGGCACACTGATTGAAAACCACTGGCATAAGTCATCAGTTGTTCCAGTCTCGCCATAGCAATTGTCAAATGCTGCTGGGCCAGGATATGAAATATGGCCTGAATAGATTGAAGCTTTTATGTGTGGTTGTACATGGAAATACCCTTTCAAGGCAAAATATGCTTTCAGTGAGGTTTATAACATGGGAAAGAAGTCCTGTGAGGAAAGGTTGAAGAAGGAGCTGGGTATGTTTTGTATGGAAAAGGGTGGGATGGGGAGAGAAAGTATAAAGGTAAAGGGACCCCTGACCATTAGGTCCAGTCGTGGCCGACTCTGGGTTCGCGGTGCTCATCTTGCTTTATTGGCCGAGGGAGCCGGTGTACAGCTTCTGGGTCATGTGGCCAGCATGACTAAGCCACTTCTGGTGAACCAGAACAGCGCACGGAAACGGCGTTTACCTTCCCGCCGGAAGTACCTATTTATCTACTTGCACTTTTGACGTGCTTTTGAACTGCTAGGTTGGCAGGAGCAGGGTGAGCAACAGGAGCTCACCCTGTCACAGGGATTCGAACCACCGACCTTCTGTTTGGCAAGTCCTAGGCTCCGTGGTTTAATCCACAGCGACACCCATATCCCTAGGAGAGAGTATGTTGTTGTTTAGTCGTTTAGTCGTGTCCGACTCTTCATGACCCCATGGACCAGAGCATGCCAGGCACTCCTGTCTTCCACTGCCTCCTGCAGTTTGGTCAAACTCATGCTGGTAGCTTCGAGAACACTGTCCAACCATCTCGTCCTCTGTCATCCCCTTCTCCTTGTGCCCTCAATCTTTCCCAACATCAGGGTATTTTCCAGGGAGTCTTCTCTTCTCATGAGGTGGCCAAAGTATTGGAGTCTCAGCTTCAGGATCTGTCCTTCCAGTGAGCACTCAGGGCTGATTTCCTTAAGAATGGATAGGTGTGATCTTCTAGCAGTCCATGGGACTCTCAAGAGTCTCCTCCAGCACCATAATTCAAAAGCATCAATTCTTCGGCGATCAGCCTTCTTTATGGTCCAGCTCTCACTTCCATACATCACTACTGGGAAAACCATAGCTTTATACGGACCTATAAGGAGACAGTATAGCCCTCTTCAAATACCTGAAAGGCTGTGATGTAGAAGGCAAATATCCCCCCCTCCCCACTGTCCAGACAGGGAGTCTGGAGTAACCTCTCTGTCGCCTTCCTTGTAGAACTTATTCTCACATATTCTGTTGTTTACATAGGTGGGGTAGTAGAGCAGCTGAGAGAATAATGGAGGATTCTGCAATTAGTTAAAATATTTGTTACAAGCCTAAGTATTAGTTTTGTAATGTTTTTCTTACAAAGCTTATATTGCAAGAACTTAGCACTATTTCCTCTGACTTGTGCAATCTATAAATATATATTGGAAATGGAATTTTATTCTTCATATTAGAACTTAAAAAAATAACAAACTTATAAAAACAAGTGTTAGGGTTGCCAAGTTGTACCTATACAGTGGTACCTTGGGTTACATACACTTCAGGTTACATACACTTCGGGTTACAGACTCCGCTAACCAAGAGGTAGTACCTCGGGTTAAGAACTTTGCTTCAGGATGAGAACAGAAATCGTGCTCCGGCGGCAGTGGGAGGCCCCATTAGCTAAAGTGGTGCTTCAGGTTAAGAACAGTTTCAGGTTAAGAACGGACCTCCAGAACGAAGTAAGTACTTAACCCGAGATACCACTGTATCTTGAAAAATCCAGAAGCAGCAAGAAAGTTGCAGCTGCTGTGGCACGTTGTGTCTTTATTAATCACTTTGCCCTGTATCTTTTGTAGGAATCAGAAGTTGAGTGTATCGCCCCCCGCCCCCAAAAAAGAAACACATGGTGAGCAAGGGGACTGGTTGCAATATAGGCACAATCCATGTGAACTCTCCCTTATAACCTAATGGTATGGGATCAGTTGAGTGTACAAGACCCCACATAGTGCAAATCCTGGATGTGGTTCTTTGTGAAAATGCTGGAAGAAGCCACACAGACACAACTGAGATAGAGATGTAGGATGGACCAGCAGGCCTGACACTTCCATGTCTCACAGTGCCAGTGAATTTTCCCAGATGCCTTTCACCCTCATCCATACACACACTTTTTGTTTGATAGTTATTAATAATCAATACTTACAATATTATTCTGCTCTTCCATTGGAGTCTTTAAGAGTGGCTTAGCACTTAAGAGGATAAAAGCATAAAACCAGATAATTAAGGGCTGCTTCGGCATAATCTAAGTAAACAAAAACAAACAAACAAAATCAGAAAAACACAAAACAAAAATTTTGGGGTTAATTTAAGCTATTTGCCTTGCAGTGAAAACACATCATAACTGAGGACAGTCAGATCTCCCTGGGGAAGAACATTCCTCAGTAGGTATGCACAACAGACGTTCCCCTTTGTGATCACCACTCACCTCAGAAGGCAGGGAGAAGCCTCAAAGGGCCTACAGAGATGGCGTTTAGATTGGCAAGTTCATGTGAGGGAGGCAGTCCTCCAAGTATCTGGATCTTAAGCCATTTGAGGCTTTAAATATGAGAACCAGCTCGTTGACTTGTGTCTGTAAATGGAATAGTAACCAGTGAAGTTTCATAGTTTTGAGAAGGATTCCATTTGATGAATCCCAGTTAGAAATCTAGCTGCTGTTTGTTGTTCCAGTTGAAGTTCCCTTGTAGTCTTCAAATGCACACTGGCTCATTATAGTAGTCTAAATGGATTGCCACTAGTACATGAACAACTGGCAAAACTTTCTCTATGGGGTTGGAACTAGTGCAACAGCTGTTGTTGGTGGAACATAATTTCAATGACAGAATCCACTTGGGCTTCTACAGATGGGGCCAGCTCTAACAGCACCCTCAAGCTCCAGCCTGACCCTTAGAGGAGAGCAAGTAGGAAAAATAGTTATCCTATTTATTGCATAAGTGCAGGGTCCCCAAACTAAGGCCCGCGGGCCGGATAAGGCCCGAGGGACTCGTTAATCTGGCACTGCGCTGCGTGGCTTCCCACTTCCAGGTCAGAGGAGCACCGGAAATAGCTTGTGCGCATGTGCAAGCGTTATTTGCGCATGCGCAAGCATTATTTCCGGTGCACATCCAGGTCGGAGGAGGCCTGTGCACAAGCTATTTCTGGTGCTTCTCCGACCCGGAAGTGCTCCGGAAATAGCGTGTGTGCACGCGTATGGGCACGCACTCCTCCGGCCCACTGTGCGTCCAGCGCTGGAGACACCAGCCCGAGGCACTAAGTTTGCTGACTCCTACATAAGTGTTCTGTAAGGATTGGTAGTTCATCATGTACCATCCTTTCTGGGGGTATTTGGCCCCCTTTGAAACCTGCAAGGCAGATTCCATGCTTTCCATTGTGCTGCTAAAGAAAGGAGGGGAGACAATGAAGGAAGGGATGCAGGGACTTACTTCAACACTTAAATTTCAGTCCTTGGACCACCTAGTGAACTTGTACTTACTGGTTTTTCCCCCCTTTTATTAAGAATCTTGGACAGCTTTTTAAAAATAAAAACATAAACCATGCATTCTGGTTTTGCTGGGACAGACCTGACTTGATATTTGGCACATGCAAAAGTGAGCAAATTGTTGCTCAGCTCCTTCTTTAGTCAGAAGGAAGTTTCTTGGTGAAGTTAGAAGTTTACATTGCATGTTCTCATAATTGTTGTTGCCCTTTTCTTAACCAGAAGGAACAATGATTTTTTTAAGCTGTCCAGTAAATGCAGATCTGATGCATATAAGCCATACAATTAACAGAGATCCTGTGCAAATTTTAAAGCATGTAAAATGTTGAGTTATATGCAGTTGCTTCTTACTTAACTGTTCAAGTAAACCCCTCTGGCAGTTTTCTAAAGGAACTTGAAGAGTGAGTAATGTAATGAAGAAGTTGCTTCATGGTCATGTTTGTTGGGAAAACATTTTGGTTTGAAATTGATTGTGCCTTTGAGAGTGTTTTAGCTGTAGAATGAAGTTTTTTATATATTGCTACACAGCATCCTCTGTTGGCTAACTTGTGAATCGACCTCCCTATTTTTATGCCTACAACTGTAGCATTCCTTTCAAAATACAGCATTCTCTTCAGTTATGTAATTACTGTACTGCCAAACAGTTCAACACAACATTGAAGGCTGGTATGTGTACATTGAAGGCTCTAATGTAGGAACCTCCGCTGAACAATGTTGATGCATTAGTTTAAAATGTATTGTAATAAACATCTATGCTGCTCCTTGATTGTGTTTCCACTGGTGTCCCAACTAAATTAACCCTATTTGGCTCGTATATAATTTCAGATTTACTCAGATCTTGAATGGACTTCCTTGACGGAGAGTCAGGCACTCCACCTATAGAAGGAAATACTTTGGGTGGGGTAGCTTTCTTTGTTAAGAGTTATTGCACATGCAGGCAAAGATATCAACGAAGTTCTCCTGAGGCAGGCTCATAGAAGACCATCTCAAGTAAGAAGCAAGCTTTCAAATCCCTGAGTCCTCTTAGAGCTTGGTTTTTTATCTGAGTTGGAAAGCATTCCCAACTATTCCTGTTCATCCCTTAATATCTGTGAAATGCCTCCCAAAGTGGTTTACAACCATATTAAATTTCCCATTAAAAATATCATCAAACCATTGACATTTAAAACACCCACGGTCCATCCAAATATAAAGCAGCATACCATAAAAGAAAAGAAATAATATAACAATGTAAAAACACAGCATACAACTTACAGATCCCAAAGGCCATGGTAAAAGAAGTCTTAAGCCCTGTTTGAAATTAATGAGGGATGGGGCTTGGGTGATACCACTTGGATTTAATTCTGAAAATGTCCTCTTGCATGTTTGTGCTAACCTAATTATTTTTGCACTCCCCAGCTAGTTTGGGGCAAGGAGATAGGGTTAGCCATTTTAGCAGTGGGTGGCAGAGTCAGCAGGGCACCTCAGCCAGTTGCCACCAGAATGACAAGCCCTCCACACAGATGCAGGTATTGGTGCTCTTATGTGTGGGGAATATGTTGCATGATTTTGTTGAGACTTTGGTTTTCTAGCAGCTTTTGGAGTGAACAGTTAGTGGGTTGGTAACAAGCCAAGTTAAATAGAGTACGTGAGAAAGTCTGCTTGGAGATAAGGAAGCCTAGCAACAGGTGGTGATTGACTAAGTTCTTCCTTATAAACAGAATGACAAAGCAGTTTTCTTGTTGGAGTATTGGAGTGCTGAAGTTTGGAAAGAAGTTTGAGTACCTCGGGTTAAGAACTTTGCTTCAGGATGTGAACAGAAATTGTGCGGCGGCAGCAGCAGCAGCAGGAGGCCCCATTAGCTAAAGTGGTACCTCAGGTTCAGAACAGTTTCAGGTTAAGAACGGACCTCTGGAACGAATTAAGTACTTAACCCGAGGTATCGCTGAAGGAACAGGTTACCCAAACCTGACTATCCAGTAGTTACCCAAACCGGGCCCCCAAACCTCCCAAATTCTTTCCTCAAGGATTCATTAGCTAAAATGCATTAGCTTCACCACTGTATATGGTAACTTGTACAAAGCTGTGCTTTACTCTGCTGTATATAATAAAGCTAACTAAAAATCAAGTTACTAGTCAAGCAAGTTCCGTTCCTGTTCATCGTCCTAGAATTGTACGATTTGGCAGCTGGTAGCTAGAGTTTTGGTTGAGATCCATTAACAGATTTTGCTGTCTAGTTTTCTGTATTTTGGCCTGTTATGTTTGTTAGTTCATGAAATCAGATGTAGTCAGTTTGAGCTGTTTCTTGTATAGAAAGGAAAATTCAGTGTCTTATGTTAAGTTCATCTTCCGCCATAACTTGGACTACTTCATACCTTGTATACATGAGAAATACTCTCGTGTAGGCAATAAAATGCAGTTTATTGATTATTATTACTGCAGGGCCTGCAAGACAGAGCTGTTCCACCAGGCCTTTGGCCAAGGCACAGTCTGACCCACCCCCCTCTGTAATCTTCATAGAACTCTAACCCGATGGTTGCCATTAATTTGATTCTGAATTGATTCTAGAATGTATTTTAATTAATTGACTGCGATTTTATGTACACTGTGCTATTTTTACCTGTTGTTAGCCGCTCTTTGGCTGGGGAGGGCGGGATACAAATAAAAATTTATTATTATTATTATTACATATGAAGCTGTTCTATTATCACACCATTGGTCCATTTAGTCCAAGATTGTCTATTTTGAATGTCAGCAGCTCTTTGGGATCTTGGACGGAGGTCTCTTCCATCACCTATTTATTACCTGATCTTTTCAGTGAAGATTTGGGATTTGAACCTCAGACCTTCTTGATGCAAAGCATTTGCTCTAGCACTCCGCATGCTTGTAGATAACTGTATGTGGTAAACAACACATAGGGTTATGCATTGCTTCCTTTCCTATACAGAAATTTGATGTGCACATCCTTTAAGCTCTGGAAGCTATGTTTAAGCCAATTTAAGGGTTGCTTTCCCCACATTTCTGCTGTGGATCTTTTTTATCTTTTGGCACACCTTTCCTGCATGCTTTCAAACATGCAGTGTGAACCTCTGGAACTCATGATTGAGTAGGGCTCCTAATAGCGTATTTATAGTGTATTCGCTGACATGTGAATGTCCGTACAGAAAGGACACTGAATTGTGGAAACAGGGAAATAGATCTCTCTTTTAACTTGTGAGGGAGACTGAATTATTGGTGTTGGGACACAACATATATTGTGTTTAACTTCTTCAGTAAACTGAACATTGTGAATGACCAGTCTTTGTATTCAGTTGCACCTTTCATCATCTTATGCTGTCACATGAATGTGCTGTGTTCCCAGTGAGCAGTGAGACTCAACTGCTTGTTTGGTGAATAGGTGTGACTGAACCCCAAAGGGGAGAAATGCCATGTGACAAGGACATGCTCAAAATCCATGTGTTCTTATCTGGGGTGAGGGATTGCTGTGGTGCTGAGCATAGCATTCTGATGCCTATATAGTGTCCTTTTTGTTCTTTCAGGGAAAATAAGATACATCAAACAAACTGTAACAGAAATGCTTAAAGAAGCTGGATAGTTACACTTCTGTAACTATTCTGTAACTAAAACAGCCTTCCTATTAATGCTCAGTATTGAATAGTATTTCAAGAAAGCATTTTGGCTTCCTTCATGGCATTTCGAAACAAAAGTAACTTACACTTACTCAGCCACAAATGAACAATTGCAGAACTTCCTCCGAGAAAGTCTCAGATAAATCAAATAAGTATTTATTTATCCTAATGGTTAAGTTCAGACATAATGGCAAACCATGGTGTAGAAGCCTAGGCTAAATAGACTTTTATGTTCTCTATCTGGTGTTCTGCAGTTTCCCCTTCCTGGTTTGCTATTAGGTTCATGATGGCAAATGGTGGTTTGCTGTGAACCAAGAGTGGAGAGAATCGTATCATGTGAGGGTAGGAGAAAGTATGAGAGGCCAGTGCTCATTCCAGGCTGTTTTTCATAACGCCAATAGGTTGTTGGAATGGTACTAAGGAGATCTGACTTCAGATCTCGCTTAGCCATGTAGCTCACTAGATGTTCATTGTCTAATCCCTACCTTTCACACAGGTGTACATCACAAGTGACATCAGGTGTGGGGCAGGTTTGGGGAAATTAACATGTGGGCAAAACTGAGACCCGGGCTGGGCCAAATTTGACCCCCTGGCCAGAATTTCCCCACCCCTGATAAAAATAATGCGAGAGGGTAGAAATGTGAACCAAAATGAAGACATGTTAAATGTAAATATGATGTTTAACATTCCACCATATTGAAATTTATATTTGATGAATATGCAAAGCAAATATATATATCAAGCAAAATGTGTGTGTGTGTGTGTGTGTGTGTGTGTGTGTGTCCAAGATGGAAGAGGAAATAAAACATGGAAATTTTAGTTTTCCCATTGTACATACAATCAGCTTTAGTGTATCTCCTTTCTGACACCATAGTATAAAATAGAGAGGTGGCAAGTCCTCTTTTAACGGGCTTATGTACTTTCTTATAAGGTGCTATAAGGCAGCTTTTCGGAAAGACTTTATGGATGTTACATCATTCTAGCTAAGAATAGATGTTGTGATGTGTAAAATGGCTTACTTGCACCCCAAATAGACATGATAGACAAAAATTGTTTTCATGGAGGTTGCAATAGGCTACATTATATCTTAATTTTTAAATAATGAGAGCATTCTGTCATGAGTTGCAGATATTAAAAATTAAGGACATTGATCTGTTGCCTACAGTGTAAAGAGGAATATTCCTTTACAGAAATGGGCATTTCTGCAGTCTACAAATTTGAAAGTAAATGCACATCATAAATCTAGATTTCTGTATGTTCCTGCTTCTTGCAAATAGAATGTTTTCAATAACCATTTCCCCTCTTCCTGCATTGTGAAATGGTGGCAGCATATCAGCAAGGAATTGCATTGGTATTCTAGAAGCATTGCCAAACCAGACAGCTCTGCAGCACACTGGTCTATTTTTAGACTTTAGGTTGCCATTTTTATCCTGTAAAAATATTCATCAGTGTCTGGGTGACAGGCCATCAGTTTTTGTAAATGTGGTAGAGACCACATTTCCCCTTCTACCTATCTTCTCTGTTTTATGCTTTGCAGTGTGTAGTTTGGAGTAGGGGGAGGTGGTTACTTTGGATTTCAATTCATGCATTAAACTCCTCAGTTCACAGATCTTTAACGTCATGCACTTCATTCATCTTTTTCTATACGCAGCTGCTTACGCATCTCTGCTTATTGTCTATTATGGCTGAACTGTTATAGTGCACAAAAGTAAGCGCGCTGGGGGGGGGGGGAATTAATGGATTTAGATGCCTTTCTATAATTTCCAATCTAGTCTCTCTCCTGACATTCTTCAACTGCAGCCACAAAGCACTAAATTTAAAACCACAATGGTACTGTGGGTAAGGTATTCTCTTTTTCTCAGAGCAAATACAGTAGTATGGGGAGATTCTCCTGAAATCAATATGGGTTGGTGGGTTGTATTACATTGGTTGTGCTTCAGCAATGAGTCCCAAGTTCCAGTTCCTGTTTGGGAATGAAAATTCTCAGTAGCCTTGAGCAAGTCATGCCCTCATTTTTTAAGTTGTTACAATCTTATTGACCTAATACACAAGTTGATTGTGCAGTTTAATGTATACTTAGCATGCAGAAAGATGTTTTCAGAGTGATTGATAACAATCCTCAGGGTATCCTTTGAGGAGATCTGCAACCAACAAAGGCAAGGTAGTCAAGACACACCTGATGCTTGTTTTGTGGTTTCTGTCCCTTCTCTGACAAAGGGCAGACTAAAAGTTATGTAGCATGTAATGTAGCTTGTAGAGCAATAGATCAGTCTTCATTTTTCCTCAAAAACTGTACAAACAGATGTACATCGAAATGTATAGGTAGGTTGATTGAACCCCAACTCTAAGAACAGGGGGCAGTAATTTATAGAAATGTATTTTAATCACTTGCTGGATAAATGTAACTTAATAAATGAACATAATTGAGAGATGAGGTGACTTGCATTTTTATAGGCTTGTTACCTTGGCACACTGGAGTTTTACAATGGCCGGTCGTAGATACTGTGTCAGAAATTCTCAAATCTAGTCATGTTGCATGTTAAATATAACCCTAACCCCATTTGTATAGTACTAAAGAACCTCCTTAATACTTGTGTGTTCGTACTCATCTCATCATTTTGCATTTCTGCAGTATATTGTGACACGCAGATAGAAAGACAATGCAACACTTGGGTACTGAACAAAGAATTGTAATAGTTGTAATACTTGGGAGTTGAACATGGGTACGGGCAGTTGTAATTACCGTATTTTTCGCTCTATAAGACGCACCAGACCACAAGATGCGCCTAGTTTTTGGAGGAGGAAAACAAGAAAAAAAAATTCTGAATCTCAGAAGCCAGAACAGCAAGAGGGATCGCTGAGCAGTGAAAGCAGCAAATCCCTCTTGCTGTTCTGGCTTCTGGGATAGCTGCGCAGCCTGCATTCGCTCCATAAGACGCACACACATTTCCCCTTACTTTTTAGGAGGGAAAAAGTGAGCAAAAAATACGGTAACTGGTGAACACAGTCAAATTCAAAGACTTAGTTCTGAATGTTTTTAAAAAAAATCTATTTACTTCCTATGAAAAACTAAAAAAGAATCTATTTAACTTCCTTTTGTTCATATTTTGCCTTCGTGACATGGAATCTCCAAATAAAATGTTTCCTGGCTCATGCCAGAGTGATGCAGTAGCAAAAACAAACAAACAAACAAAACCAACTAATGCTAGTTTAGGCCACATCAACAGAAGTATAGTGTCCAGATCAAGGGATATAATAGTACTGCTCTATTCTGTCAAACTCCCCCTAAAGTACTGCTTTCAGTTCCTGGGAACCACAGTTAAGAAAGATATTGACAAGCTGTAACGTGTGCAGAGGAGGTCAACCAAGATGATCAAGGGTCTGGAAAACAAGCCATAATGCGAATGGTTGAGGGAGTTGGGTATGTTTAGCCAGGAGAAGAGAAGACTGAGAGGAGATATAATAGCCAAATATATAAAGGGCTATCACATGGAAGATGAAGTAAGCTTGTGTTCTCCTGCTCTGGAGGGTGGGACTCAAACCAACGGCTTCAAGTTACAGTGGTACCTCTGGTTAAGAACTTAATTCCTTCTGGAGGTCCATTCTAAACCTGAAACTGTTCTTAACCTGAAGCACCACTTTAGCTAATGGGGCCTCCTGCTGCTGCCGCCACATGATTTCTGTTCTCATCCTGAAGCAAAGTTCTTTAGAAAGTACTATTTCTGGGTTAGCGGAGTCTGTAACCTGAAGCGTCTGTAACCCTTGGTACCACTGTACAAGAAAGGAGATTCCAACTAAACATCCGTAAGAATTTTCTGACAGTAAGAGCTTTTCAACAGTGGACCAGACTCCCTCGGAAGGTGGTGGACTCTTCTTCCTTGGAGGTTTTTAAGCAGAGGTTGGATGACTATCTGTCATGGATGCTTTAGTTGAGATTCCTGCATTGTAGGGGGATTAGATGACCTTTGTGTCCCTTCCAATTCTACAATTCTCTGATCTTTCACCAAGGGACGAGTGTACATAAGAACCTCAGAGAAGCTCAGCTGGTTCAAATTAAAGGCCAATCTCATTCAGCATCCTTTTTACCCTTTGGCCAATCAGGTGCCTGTGGAAAGCCTGTAAGCAGGACATGAAGATTACAGCATTAGCCCTCACTTTTTCTCCAGCAACTGTCTTCAGAAGTATACTGCCTCAAATAATTGAGGTAGTAGCTGTAGATGACCAGTAGCCATGGATCCATGAATATGTTTAAACCCCTTTTAGAGCCCTCCAAGTTGGTGGTCATCACCTCATCTTGTGGTGGCAAATTCCACTCCTTAACACTGCTTTCTTATTCTTTCCATAATTGACTCCCTTGGGAGGCTGTGGACTCTCCTTCATTAGAGGTTTTTAAGCAGAAGTTGGATGGCCATCTGCCATGGATGCTCTGGTTGAGATTCTTTCATTGCAGGGGATTGGATTAGATGACCCTCAGGATCTCTTCCAACTCTACGACTCTAACCCACAGCACTCCAACATGATTGTACATATTCTATCACTGTTCATTTTTTAAAAAAACAGTGTGCTCCGAATCTGAAGAAAAGTGAGCATAAGGGTTCTCTTGCAAAGTTTCTCATGCCAAGAGTCCCCTTTCATTATAGTTCCCAGTGCCCCAGCCCACACTATTCTAGACAGTTCCTGAACCTTCAGTGGCTTGCCACAAGTTCTGACTTCCACATATTATCATGCCTATAATCTATCATATGAAATGCACTGTGGATGCCAAAGAGAAGTGAGAATATGCAAAATCTGAACATTTGTGGTTGCAATTTGAGTGAGAAATAGGAGGTTTAGAAGCACACATTTGTCTCATTTTCTGCACCAGATTTTCCGTTCAGTAAATGTATTGTGTTGCTGCTGTCTTATTAACTTGCAGAGTCTGCATGCTTATCTTCTTTGTTCTTGTTAAAATATGAGCTGGCATGTGTTAGACTGCATTAGCGTTCACTTCTAGGGACTTCAGTGCCTTCTAAATTTGGCATTGCTAAGCTGGTGCCCTGTTTGCTTGAATCAATTGGGGTAGCTATTTTTAGCAACAAAGGGGAATTGAAATAGCAATTTTCTTTCCATGCAATAGATCCCAAGAGGAATACTGATGCAAGCTCTCTGTCATTGCATATACTCGCCCCTCCTCAAAAACCCTCAGACAAAAGGCAGCTGTCACAGTTTGCGGCAGTATTAATCTTTAATCAATTGAGTGTTTTCTGCATTCAGGTGTTCTGAGGGGAAAACGGGTCATGAGGAGAACCTGTCTGGAATAACTAAGCATTCTCTTTGGTGGGTAACAGCAGGGAATAGGCAGAGCAGCTAAAAATAGTATTTGCTTCAAGTGTTCCTCCAGTCTATTTTTGATACTTGATTTTGATAAGGTTGATTGGGCTCTTACTAAAAATAAGTTTCTTCCAGGCTAGCAACACATGCACACACACACATAGTAAAATGTTTTTAACTAACACAAACTAAAATTCTTTAGTGGGCTGCAGATAATCTTGGAAGAAAGTGTTGGTCAGACGCCAGTGTTTATATAAGCTCTATTAAATGAGGCATTATTTGATGCCAACCAGGACTTGTCTCTATTCTTTCCAGTTTTCGTTGTGTTGAAGGGCTAGTATGACTTGTTTGCCTTTCACAAGCTTCTTGTAATGTAGTGGAAATAGCAGCGGGTCCCCCCCCTTTTACATAATTCACACCTATTCAGTGTTACCATTTTCTGTTACATGCCTTGATTTGGAAGACTGTTTTGTTAACTCCTGCTAAAAGCTGCATTTAATATAGATTCTCATTAAGTAATATTGGAATATTACTTGCAGCTACTTATAACTGAGAAGAGAAATGCTGATTTCCCACATTTGCAACATAATCTGTTAGTTATCTATTTATTAGCAGTTATTTCACAAGAAAGTGAGTGGAAGTATTGTTGAAATTTTGATTACATGTAAAACCATGTGACTTCTGCAAGACTACGGCTATTCTTCCAATACTAGATTTATCAACTTTTCCAGAAATCTTGCCCTGCATTTTTCTTCACATATTATAAGAGTTCACCCTCTTAATCCCAAAATGAAACGTCACTTAGAGTTTTCTGTCTACTTCTCCATCTGGGGAATAGAGGGCAGGGTGTGGATTCAAATATATAGCTGGAACAGCCTCTCCCTGAATAAAGCAGCACTGATAATTTTCATGAAAGCGGTTTGCCCAAGACTACTCTGCAGTCTTCATGTTTGAGTGGTGACATAGCTGAATTGCTTCTATCAAATACTGTCTTATTTATTCTTACATCACTCTCCTTTGTGCTGTTTTCTTCCTGTTCAATACTATAAAAATACTAATTTATTCACAGTAGTCTTGAATCCTAATCCGAAGGAGGCAAGCATTATTTTTCAGATGAAGAAATGCTGAATCAGTATAATGCTTGGATTGAAGGAGCGATTTGGAGGTGCCATTACAACATAACAAGTAAAATTAATGTTGTGTGTTGTAAAGCTTTCATTAATTGTTCATAAGACATACATGCTAAATTGGATTTGAATTGATAGGCAACATTAAAAAAAAATCCTAAGTCAACTTTTCCAGAAAACTTATATCACTTCTAGAAGACGAAGAATTTATGGCATTATGACATAAGCTTTGGAAACACACTAACATCTCTGTTCTTCCGCCTTTCATGTTTTATAGTTATCACGGGAGCTACTGATGGAATTGGAAAGGCATATGCAGAAGAGGTAAGTTGTGATTCATGTAACATATTGTACCTTTGTGCATTTTGACATGCATACAACAAATTGGAGTCTGTATCCTGTGCTGTATGTATGTCATGTTCTTGTTTTGCCTGAATGATAAGGCAAATTGTTGTTTAACAGGGATAATGTGGCAAAGTATAACCTGCATGGAAACACTGTTTTGTAACAGAGCTAACTTAGCATGGCAGTCTAACAATCTAAATGAATTCTGAGATGGCTCTGGTGCATGTTACAGTATCCGTTATTCTGGCCAGATGTGTATTATAGTTCATTACAGTGCTATTCTTCTATAAAACAAAAGGTGCCACAACTCACTATGAACTCCTCCCTTGTTCTCTTATAATGACAAGGGTGCTCACCTGAGAGGTACCAGAACTGAGTTCTGGTGAATTCTGGCTGAAAAAAGCCCTGATTATATATAATGTGCATTATAGTTTGCTCTACGAAGACTCCTGCCTTGTTGTCTGGCTATCATATGAAAACAGTGGATGCTTGGGTTGCGAACATGATCCGTGTGGGATGCACGTTCGCAACCCGCGTCTGTGCACGCGTGGGTTGCGATTCGGTGCTTATGCGCAAAGCGCAATTTAGCGCTTCTGCGCATGCACGACCACCGAAACCCGGAAGTAACCCGTTCCAGTACTTCTGGGTTTTGGCGGTCCATAACCTGAAAAAACGCAACCTGAAGCACTTGTAACCCGAGGTATGACTGTGTATGATTCCACCCATATTTGCAAGACGAGCATATTGCATAAAGCGAAAGAAAAAAAGAACTTTGATCCTTAAAACATGACCCATTAACAGTTTGACATCCTTTCCAATGTCTTCATTTGTGCTAGGCACAGTGTCTGCTTACACATAGTACTTTGGATTCAGTGTTAAGGTTTGGCAGCCAAGTCAGGTAATATTTGTACCTCTGGATACCTAAAACCTCATCTGAGGATTAATGCCTGTGTTTACACTAGGAGTGGAGAACTCCTGGCCCAATGGCCACATTTGACTAAGCACTGGTCCCAGTTTGGCCCCCAAGGCCGATCTGATATATGTGATGTCAGATGTGGGGCAGGTAGAGATGCAGAAGGAACTGCTGCACCACCAGGTTCCCTGTGGAACTCATGTTGGAGTTCCCTAATCCCAGCAGAAAGTAGGCTTGAAGTCACTATCAACTGATAGGTAGTAACTTCAAGCCTGCTGATCAGCAGCAATTTGAAGCACTAAGGAGGGTTCTTTGTAAAAAGTTCTAACAGTTGACACCTGATGTCACTGTGACATCAGGTGGGTTGGTAGATGGGTGGCCCTTCCAACCTGACCAGTTTGGTCCTTGTGAGATAAGGATTTGCTCCATTGGCCAGTTCAGTTTCCCTATCCTGGCTCACACATTCACAAGTGATCTGGTTAGATCAGTGGATTGGTGTCTTTGAAGAGATCTAGCTCAGTGTCCATCTTAATTATGAATCTTTGCTCAGTTACCATAGATTACTAATTTCCTACTCTTTATGTCAAATCTATATTTGTAATTCCTTTTTTCTGTTATTTGTTAATCCAATTTGAGCCAAATACTTCCTCCTGATGGAGAAGAGATATCTTTAGATTTAATTCTGTAATTGAATTTCTTGTATAAATAGTGGTGTTGATCAATAAAATGCTACCATAGAGTTGTAACTGGCACTCTTAGACTTTTGCCCTTATTTTTTTCAGTTAGCAAGGCGTGGAATGAAGGTGGTTCTTATCAGCAGATCTCAGGAAAAATTGGATCAGGTTGCCAAGGAAATAAGTAAGTAGTTTTCTGGTCTTTTCTCAACTAAATTATTGACAGCTAAAACAAGGGATGATGGGATTCAACCAATGAGCCTCATCAGCAGAAGTCCTATTCATGGCTTCCCTGCCTTTCATCTGCCCCTCCAGATGTTGCTGAACTCAACTATTATGGTCAATGGGATTATGGGAGTTAAAGGTTAAGCAACTTTTGAAAGCTAGGAGGTTAGTCAGCATTTACATCGGGTGGATCCAGTAGACATCGTGCAAGCACAAGCTTCCAAAAAGCCTTTTCACAGCTCAGGTCCTCTTATGAAGTAAAAACTGGTTAAAGCAGAGAGTAGATATAAATTGACAGTTCTCCCAGTGGAGTTATATAATGCAGGGTTGGCAGTTCTGGACACCACACCTCAAAAATTATATTGTGGAGCTGGAAAAAATGTAGAAAGGGGCAACAATAGGGGGCTGGAGCAATTCCCCTATGAAGAAAGGCTTCAGCGTTTTAATTGAAAGAAAGAGCACATGATAGAGGTGAATAAGACTCATTGAAAATATAGTTTTGCATTTAAAGCTGCCCATTTGTGGATGGACCTTAGAACCAGTAGAAGGTCCTACTGGAAAATTTAAGAATTGAACAGTATTGCACCTGTATATATTTTTCATCAGTTTTCGCGTGTACATGTCACAAGTGCTCTGCTTTTGTTCCTTCTCCATAAATAAGCTAAAACCTAAAAGCACAGTAAAAATACCATGTAATCATCATTGTAAGTAGCTGAGAATGAATATAAGTTACGGTCTCCCCTAGAATGTAGTTGGCAGGAGACCAGTGCCAGAAATAAGGTGGTAGAAAATATTAGCTAGTTTATGGCAGGTTAAGTTTATTTCCAAAATTATATTCAAAACATACTTGACACACCACCAGGAAACACTTTTACTCTGCAGGAATAATCAGTTTGCCAGCTTTAATAAAACAGCAGTTAAATAAAGGTTGAATAGCAGTGTTAAAACGATCAAATACTCAAATCACACATACTGTTATATATACTATGATCAACACGTTTTCTAGAACTACCAAGAACCTGGGTGCTTGGAATCCCCCCCTCCCCGATTTGTAACCATTCTAAATTTAAAAAAAATACCCAAGCAGTGTACAAAATACAATAGAAAACATAATTCAAACCATAAAACAAAGTTAAAAACATAAATTGACAAGAATTAAAAGCTTCTGAAATAGAATAAACTAATTAGCATGTTGTTGAGTTTGGAAGTAGTTGTTGATTTCTTTGTAAAAACAAAAAAACGAAAACGATATTGGAAGATGGTGTTCCCAGCACCTGGCATTCAGAGGCATACTATGTCTGACAGTAGGAGGAGAACATAGCCAGTCTGGCTACTAGCTATTGATAGCCTTAGCCTTCATGAATTTGTCTACTTTCTTTTTAACCATCCAAGTTGGTGATCATCATTATTTCTTGTGGGAGTGAATTCCAGAATTTAACTTATGTGTTGCGTGAAGAACAGCTTTTCTTTTGTCTGTTTTGAATCTTCCAGTATTTGTTTTCTTTGGATGTCCAGAAATTCCCACATCTTATCCTACAGCTATTAAGGGAAGACCGGCTTGAATTCTCTGTGATAATATATTATGTGTATAATATATATTTATAATAGGAAATGGGGGACCCACGCTTGATAATTCTAGGCAGAAGGTGAAAAGGGATGCATTCACATCAAATTCATATCACGAGAGCTTTTTGAAATAGAGCGGGGAAAGTTGTTAAAGAGCTTAAGTATTTTTGTACTGTGTATTTTGGGTCTATGGACCGCACTCAAGCTGTGTGTGTGTGTTTCAAATATATAAGCATTAATATCTATGAGCTGGCCAACCTTTAAAAACAACAACCCAGAATAAGAGTTTTACAATTCTGGAATACTATAAACAGGTTTGGGGATGGAGAACTCTGTTTTACAAGCAGCAGTGTCTACATTTATGAAAGATCTGAAACCATCATTGTGGCCTATTGATGCTGGAAAGCTTTGTAGCCACCCTTTCCCCCTGCGGTGTACTATTTCCATGGTGAGAGGTGGTGGCTGAAATAGAGAAAGGCCCTGCTGGCAGATTTTTTTAAACAAAAAAATCTACTCTGAGTAGATTAGTATTTTATTTCATGTCAAAATTGTATAAATTTGGGTTCAGGAAGAAATTTTCTGTCATGTTTGCAAGTGATAGAATAGAAGTAGGAGATGTCTTGTAGTTCGTGCTTTTCCTAAATTGTGTGAACCATCAAGAGTATGCAATTTCTTGAAAAATATGATGAGACCTCACACTTTATTGATACATACCCCATATCTTGTTTAAGTCTTAACAACAGTAGAAACTAATAAAACAATGAAATCAAGTAACAAAACAGATTTGAGATGATGATCAGAACAGAATCAGACAAAATATTACAAAACAACATTAGTATAATTATAGTGGTGGTAACAAATCTGTTTAATGTGGTATTACTTAAGAGTTCAACATGTTTACTAAAGGGAACTTAGTTTGCATTGGGTCTGTCATTGTTGTAGTAAATATATCCCCTAAGTCTTATTAAGTGCTAGTAAATGGGTGCACATTTATTCATACCATAGTTTGAATTTTTATTATAAAAAGAGCTTGTCTAGCTACTAATGGACATTTTCAACAACTGTTGCTATAAGTAATGATTTTAAAATGCAGTGTTCGAATAAAGTATCTAGGTTTAAAACTGAGTTTAGCAATCCACTAGATTGTATATATGGTGCAATCTGTGCAGGAACCTCTGGGCAGGTGTTTGCCTTTCAACAAGGCTAAAAATAGCATTCATTACCATAAGCATGAGGAACACACTCAGACATGAGCAGCATCGCGATAACCTTGTGGGAGAACTTGGAAATGAACACAGTATTTTTCTTTCCAGTGCCAAATCATTCAAACTGGTGTAAACTACTTGAATGAAATTAATTTTCCCACCTGTCAAAATCAAGGTTTTTGCCATGTTTTCAGTGGATTGAAGGGGGGGTGATTCCTTCTCTCTGCTTACCCCATTCCATGTCTGTAGAACTGAAGCAGTTGTATCCTGTCAGGTATGATAAAACAGCATAATGCATATGTGGTGCTATTGAGTTTTTAAAGAGTTGCTAGTCTAGGAGTATATTTGCTGGAGTGGGTGTTGGATTGGACAGAGGCGTACCTACGCTTAGGCCTCTCAACTTTCCACTGGCTCTTGCCCACAGAGTGACACCTTTGTCACATGACTGGTGGAGCTCCCTGCTCCAGCTACTGAGTGGATGGTGCTGTGGTCTAAACCACTGAACGTCTTGGGCGTGCTGATAGGAAGGTCGGCGGTTCAAATCCCCATGACGGAGTGAGTTCCATTGCTCTGTCCCAGCTTTTGCCAACCTAGCAATTCAAAAGCACACCAGTGCAAGTAGATAAATAGGAATATGTTAAATCCTGAGCAGGCCCAATGTCCATTGTGTAGCTCCTTTGGGCTGATCATCCCAGTAAATGATATGAAATATTTGTTTCTCTCACTCAACTTGGCAACTTTCTTCACTGCAGTACATGTGGGATTTTTTAACCAAGCCATTGATAAATTGTGCATTCATGGCAGAAACAGCTATGTAGCAGTGCATATTAATGTTACTCTTTTTCTAAATCCTGGATTATTTCTAAATCTTCGGTTATTACTTTTGCTAGCAGTAAAAACCTCAAGTATTTCATAACAAAGAAAGGAGAATGGGTAGTGTCCATTGATATATTTATCTGCAAATACCCTGACCGCAAGATTTCAAACATGAATGTGTAGTGATAGAGCAGATGTTGCTAAAAATAGCAAGCCTCCACCTCCCTTCACAGAGATGTTGAACTTGATTTTCTTCTGACGTGATCACAAGACCACTGCTGCAGTAGGGACTTAATGCTATTTACGTCGTTATTTTGCATAGCAGCATATCCCTGGGGATTTATAAACAATGCAGCTGTTCTGAAAGATGAAGTAGGAAGCAAACAGTTGCATCTGCCATTAGGGATATTAGGAGGGGGAGGGGGAAGCAAGCAATGGAATACAATTAGGCTCACAAGTCTGCATGAATGCATAAGCAATTGTTTTTCTCGGGAAAAACCTAGGAATGACTTTGTCCTTTAAACTCACAACTATTTTTATGAATTACTTGAAGTATTTTACCTTACCAGTGTCTGTTAAAACAATCACTTAGAATGAAGTAATGTGTAGGGTTATTGCATCTTTTATGATTTTATAATACTATGAATTCCATTCAACAGTTTGCATAACTGATCTACCACTGCCCCCATGTGCCTCTAAAAAAACCCCTTTGGAGTTGAGTGGTGGGGGAAATTGGAGGGGGAAAGACCATGGAGGCACTGGAGGCAAGAACAGTGAGTTTGTTGGGAGAGAGAGTGGACAAGAAGAGTGCATAGTGATTAAAGGGGTGTTGCATGGTCTGTACAATGAGAGAGGTGGGTTATTTTATCAGCAGAGGTCTGGATCAAGGTGAAAAGACTGAAGTGAAAATGATAGAGAATAAGCTTGCGGTCAAATCGGATGATTTCTAGAGCATGCATCATTTGACAAAGGCCACATGCTGACAACTTAGTAAGCCATAAACCAGGGCTTACCATAAAAGAGCAACTTGTTAGTGCACACTGCTGAATTGCTCCGGCTGCACTTTCCCCCTAGCATCTGTGGGAGCAATAAACTACAATCCTTTGTTAAAAAAGAACTAGCACTCACAACTTTTTTTTAAAAATAATATTTATTGCTTTTAAACCTTACAAAAAGAAGAAAAGAAAAGAAAAAAGAAAAGAAGAAAAGCAAAAGAGAAAACAATACAATACATTATATAAACAATACAGAACGCAACATTAACATTAACACATTAAACAAAACAAAAGCAAAAACAATTCAAAAAACACACATCGTACCATCTCAATATCCTCTCTTTCATTCCCGTGTTTCATCGACCTCCTCTCACCCCCTTTTTGTATTCCATTTCTATTAATTGTTTCAGCAAATCCTTTCCATCTTTCTCTATTTTCTGTCATGTAATTATCTTAACATATTTTAACCTTATTTTCCATTAATACTATAATACTTATTTATACTTAATTCCTTAAAATATTTCTACTAAAGCTGTATAATTCCTTTCCAACATTTTTCTAACACTCATTAATTTTACATTATTTCCATATATAGATTTTAAACTTTTCCCAATATTCTTCCACCGTCTCTTCTCCCTGGTCTCGGGTTCTGCCAGTCATTTCCGTCAATTCCATATAGCCCATCAACCTGTTGATCTTCTGTCCGAGGCTCTTAACTCTTTTCCAGGTCCCTTCTGCAAGTCTTCTTCATGTTTATACATGCACTTTACTTTGTCTTCTCCTGATCTTGTTCTTATTTTCCTTCCTTTGATGCTGAAAAGTAGATCTCCAGGAAATTCCCATCTAGCAATGTTTTTATTCCTTCTCGACAAGTCAGCCAAATCTCCATAGTTAGAACTGAAATTCAAAAGATATTTCCAGTCGTGTTTCAAAGTTCCTCCAAGTCTGGCAGTCCCCACAACTCCAGTCTCCTCCTGACCCAAGTCCAGGTCCCAAAGGTCAATAAACCCCTGCATGAGGGGATCTATCCAACTTTCTTTCTCCAGTCCAAGCGGGGCTCCAATCCTACAAGTCTGACTTTCTCTAAATTCAGTCTTGGAAGGCATCAACTTATAATCATCAAGCGTAATTACTGAAGATATAAAAATATCCAAAGGAACAAGACAAGGTTGTCCACTTTCGCCATTGTTATTCATAACGGTTCTGGAAGTCTTCTTAAATGCGATTAGACAAAACAAACAAATAAAAGGGGTGACAGTAGGGCAGAATGAATACAAAGTTAAAGCCTTCGCCGATGATTTGGTAATGACCATTGAAGAACCAATAGAAAGTGTAAAAGAGGTATCGGAGGAGATGGAACAATTTGGAAGGGTAGCCGGATTTAGACTGAATAAGAATAAGACCAAAATGATTGTAAAAAATATGGAACAAAGTAAGATTGAAATAATGCAGCAACAAACAGAGATAGAGGTGGTGAAAAAGGTAAAATATTTGGGAATTTGGTTAACGTCTAAAAATATTGCTTTATATCAAAATAACTATATACCGGTTTGGAAGGGAATAAAGAATGACCTGGAGGTGTGGGGCAGAATGAAATTATCTTTCTGGGGAAGAATGTCTACGATAAAGATGAGCGTGCTGCCAAAGATGTTGTTTTTATTTCAGACTATACCCATTATAAAGGGTATAGGAATCTTTAAAGAATGGCAAAGAGTGATTTCAAGGTATATCTGGCAGGGGAAGAAGCCAAGAATAAAATTTAAGTTATTGACAGATGTAAAAGAAAGAGGTGGCTTCGCCCTGCCAGATTTGAAACTATATTATGAAGCAGCTTGCCTGTGTTGGTTAAAAGAATGGATTAAACGAGAAAATAAGGAGCTATTAGACCTTGAAGGTTTTGATAACAGATTTGGTTGGCATGCGTATCTATGGTGTGACAAGAAGAAAGTTCATAAAGGATTTGGAAGCCACATTTTCAGGAGTTCTTTAATAGAAATATGGGATAGATACAAAAATATATTGGAACCAAAAATCCCACATTGGCTATCTCCGTTAGAGGTTATGAGTGTTAAGAAAATTAATATGAGAGGTAAATGGAGTACATACGGAGAATTAGTAATTAAAGAAGGAGGAAAATGGAAATTGAAACCATATGAACAAGTTAAAGATCATGTATATGATTGGTTGCATTATTTTCAAGTAAATGAAATGTTTAAATAAGATTTAAAAGAAAGAGGTTATGTAGAAAAAGATTCTAAATTTCAAGTAGATATAATAAACAATGATTGTAAAACTTTGTCGGAAATGTACAAGATATTGTTGGAATGGCATATGAAAGACGAAGAGGTTAAATCGGTAATGATACAATGGGCCAAAGATTTTGGGTACAATATACATTTTGATGAGTGGGAAAAACTGTGGAAAGAGAATATAAAATTTACTGCATGTACGGCACTGAAAGAAAATGTTATGAAAATGTTTTATAGATGGTACATTACACCAGTAAAGTTAGCAAAGATGTATAAGACGTGCAACAAATGTTGGAAATGTAAAGAAAAGATGGAACATTCTTTCATGTGTGGTGGGAATGTAAGAAAGTGAAAAGCTTTTGGGAAATGATATACAATGAAATGAAAAAGATGTTAAGATATACTTTTGTAAAAAAACCGGAGGCTTTTCTTTTAGGGATTTTAGGAAAAGAAATAAGAAGAAAAGACTGTAAACTCTTTCAATATGCAGTAACGGCAGCCAGAATATTGTTGGCCCAGAAATGGAAACAAGAGGAAATACTGACGATAGAGGAATGGAGACTGAAACTGATAGATTACGCAGAACTGGACAAATTAACTGGGAAAATTAGATATACCAAAGACCAAAAGTTCATCGAAGACTGGGGAAAGATTGTAGATTATCTGAAAAATGTATGTGACGTGAACACAACGTTAGTGGGATTTCAAGAGGCACTGTAAAAATTGATAAGTATTGTTAATATGAAATAGTGGGGGAAGTTTAATGGCAATACGAAAGAAGGGAATGTGTAATTAAAGATAAAATATGGATGATTCTCAGAGACGCTGAAGGAAGTTCAAAAAGAGACAATTTGTTGAAATTTGGAAAAAAATATATAATTGTATGGAAAACCAATATTTTTTTTTTTTTAACTTATAATCATCAAATTGCAACTGTAAGGCTGGGGCTCTCTCCCTCACCACTTGTGCCACTTTAGGTTCCACAGCAAAAACTTTCTCCCCCTCCTTCTCCTCAGTTTGCCATGTCAAAATAGATCCCTGTATCGATTCCTGAATAATTTCTATATTAATATTGACTTTTTGTGCCAAATTAGTCACTTTTTGTTCCAAGTTATCAATTTTTATAGTCCTTGCATCCGTCTTCTTATAAAGCTGTTCCAGTGAATCATTAATCTTACAAAATGCAACCACCAAGGCTTCTTCTGTCAACATTCTTAACGATTCAAGGTCAATCCCAGATTCTCACAGTTTTATCTTGCAGGTGGAAAATTCCCCCAGCTCAGCTCTTGTAACAATTTCAAAGGCTTCCTCTAGGGGGAAACAATTTCTATTTGTATCAATCCTTTTAAGCACAGTTCAAACAATAAAGTTAGTTTCAATTTTCAGTTACTTTTACTCCTTTTTAAACGCAGAAGGAGACAATGGAAACAATGTATTTCTCTTCTTTAACTTACTGTCAGCAGACGATCTATTCACAGTCAATGAGCATATCCGAAGCTTCAATCTTACTAGCAGCCCGTTTCCAGGTTCAGAGCGGTGGTAATTTGACTTTCTTCACTCTCTCCTGCAGGCTTACGCGATCTTAAATTTTCCCCCTCTTCTCCTGCTTCCAAGGGGGGTTTGATGATTTAACCGATGGAAGTTTAATCCTTTATGAGAGACTTTCCAAGGCTTTAGCTTGCAGCCTCTTTGCTTCAATCTATTTACAAAAGGGGAAGGTGGACTTCCTGTTTGAAACCTCCCCGTTTCGGTGCCAAATTAAGACGTTTAAAAATCCAATTTTCCGTTCCACTCACGGGTAGTTGTTTTAAGATCAAATTGTCCACAGGAAAAAGTCAGCGCTCTCCTGCAACAGCAATGCGGCTTCACTCCGTGAAGGAAGCAGTTGATTTGAAGCACCGCGCCACTCACCCCACGTCGCTCCGGATCCCCGAAACCGGGTTTCCCCGCGAGTAGGGGAGGCGCAAAAGGTGCCAGCCGAATCCCACGTCCACAAGCTTCTCCCGCCTGTGGTTTTTAGTGGGTCTCCGCCTTCGCCGTGGCGGCCAGACCCTGATTTCCACGGAGCGGATTCCTCCCGATCAGAGGAATTCTGCCATTGCCGGAGGCGCTAAGCCGGAAGTCTTAGCACTCACAACTTTTTCTCTTCAAACGAACCATGATATAGTGTGCTCTGGGCCACATATATATACTACAGGAAACTAGTATGTTTGCAACAAAAACATGAGGTGTGTAACACCTGAAAAACTAAAATACATACCCTACTGTTGTATGAAGGTAATACCATAGTTTCTTCAATGCCTAAAAATGTTTCAGTGAGGAATAACTCAGCTTCCAGAATAGAGGAAACAAAGGGGGGGTGTCAGCAATAAAACAATGGTGGTACCAGAGAATATGGAGGATACAGAGTGAGAGGAATACTTAGAAGAAAATAAGTTCAGTGATGGATTATTTTGTGTTTGAGGCAATAGTGAGCCATCCATCTGTCCATGAAGAGGGGTTGAGTGGGGGAAAGTATGGGATAGAAGCAGAACTTGGTGACCTGTGTATTAGTGGTACTGAAAGTCAAAGAATTTGCTAGTCTTTCAGTGGCAGCCACAGAAAACACAGAATCGTTGTCTTTTGTGGCCGCAACTGAGGCAGGGAGGAAAGCAGATAAAACTTTTTTCTTGGTTAGATGATGGATACATGAATGAATAGTGACACAGGGAGGAAGAGAACCCGCTAAGCACAGTTTCTCAGTGGCCTACACCATAAAGGAGAAGTTTAGATTTTCGTCCCTTCAGTTTCAGAATTGATTCAGACTGTTCAGTTGAGACCCAAGAAAACAAGGCAAGAATTACATTCTACTTATAAGAATTGTGGACAGCTGTCTCAATTTTGTACCATTTTGCTCAGTCTACAAAATGGAGAGATTCATTTATCTCATAGGGTGGTCTGACAAGTCTGTTTGTTTGTTTGTTTGTTTGTTTGGTTGGTTGGTTCTAAGTCTCTTTGGGTTGCCGTGGACAAGATAAAGTTACTAACAAATTTAATTTCATTGGGGTGTGAGGAGCCAGAGAAACTGAGCAGGTGGAGGAAAGAGTTGAAATGGGTGGAGTGATAGGAAAAGGAGGAAGCCCTTCGTTCAGACTTTGCTGAGGGGTGGGGGCTGGGAGAGAAAAATGATGGTCTTTCCCGTTTATGACTTTGACTCAGTCTATCGCCAGCATGTAGCTCTTGACAGATTACTTCCAAGGGAATGCGGCCCTTAACATTAAAAAAAAATCCACCCCATGCATAAAGCTTTTCTATGCGATATGTCTTAGGTCTTCATAAGACTGCGGTTGTATGGAAGATTTGGCATACGATGCAGTATGTCCTCCAAATAAGGTTGCACCTTCTTGCAAGCAGTTTCTGTAATCAACACTTAACATTTTTGATCCGTCCCAAGTTGAAATGACTGCGATAAGGTACTGCTTTCTGTAACAATGTGTTGGATCTCTCCTTACATACACTTAAGTCCCTCAGAATGCTTAAGCCATGTTGTTTGGAGGAGCTTTGGATTATGTGAACATACTTAAGAGTGACATACTCTTATCCCTGTCACTAACAAACACTAGGAAACTACTTTTAGTGTCCGAAGCAGCTGAATATTTTGCTCCCATTGGACAGTGTTTTAAACACAAATGACAAATCTATGCAGTATATTATTCCTTCACAAGGATGCTTATGTTGGAACTTCGTTTGGACCAGTATGTCAGATGGATCATTTAAAATTGGTCTTAATGGCAAAAGACTGGTAGTTTCATTCTGGTAATAACAACTTTAAATGCATGCCATGTGTTGATGATTAGTTTATTTGACCCATTAGGACTTAACAGAAGAGGTTTGCATTGGGATTTTAAAGTTTTCCATGTTTGTTGTAAAATAATCCATGCTTATATTTGTGTGTGTGCTTTATTTCAGGAGAGCGGTTCAAGGTGGAAACGAAAACCATTCCTGCTGACTTTGAAGATCGTGAATCTATTTACAGAAACATAAAAGCAGGCCTGGAAGGTCTCGAGATTGGTGTCCTAGGTTTGTATCTTACTCTTATTTCCATGTTATTTGCTATGTTCTTGGAATCTTTGCTCCCAAGGAAAGTAGATAAAATTATTCAGTTCATAGCAACAAGTCATTTTGGAATAAACTTTGAAGCCTCTGTGCTTCATAAAACAGTTGTTCAGAAGTGGAAGAATTTGCACTGTTATCAAGAGTAGCTTATCCTACGAAAAAGGTCACCTCTTCTCTTATGTCCTTCATGCTTCAGACATCTATCTAGATACCTTTGTAGTAGTTTTCTTGTATTTTCCAGCATGGTGAAGTTCAAGTATTGAGGCTAAAGCAGCTTCAAAGCTTAACCTCTTCCATTTTGCCCCTGCCTTCTACTGCATGTGTGATTGCTTAAATATGGCTAATAATATAGAGTCTAGGCCCCAGACATTTTTTCACCTCCTCAGTCAGAGATTAGTATTCTTGTTTAGTGGGTTAGATGGTTCCTTTAGGATTGAAGGACTTTCATAGAAGTCTTTCTTATTGTTCAGGCTCCTGCTTGTCTTGCACTCTTTATTCTGAGCCATATTAAGGAAATCTCTTCAGATACATTTGAATTCCAGTAATGTGTTGCATCTCCTTTCTGACTAGAGTATATCATAGAATCATAGAACTGGAAAGTGACACCGAGGATCATCTAGTCTAACCTCCTGCAGTGCAGGAATCCCATATGGGGATCGAACCTGTGACCTTGGTATTATCAGCACCACGCTCTAAAACCAACTGAGTTATCTGGTGGTTGTATGAGTGGTAGAATATATGTAAATCTGCATCCACGTTTTCACTCAGTGTTATAGGCTAGATTTTTGCTTCTGGAAATGAAGCATTTTGCAGAGTATGATCAAATATAGGTGATCCCAGATTCATAAGTTATTAATTTGTTGCATTGGAGACTGCAACTGCAGAAATGATATTACTGAGGAACAGCAAACTAGTTTATATTGTTCACCAACTGGAGGAAAGACTGGGAAAAAATAAGTTGGTACTCCTCTTCCCTTGGGCATTGATTGATCTGTTTCTGCCCTGCCACCACAAGGTCCCTGAAGTGAGAAGTGCCCTGCTTACATTAGCTGAAATCAATTTCCATATCTTCCATTCATCTGTTTTGCTGATTTGGCTACTTAAATATTTCATCGTAATATGTTGGAAAGTTGCTATGCCATATTGACTGGAGTTCTTAGACTTGGACTACTTCCAAGTCACTTCTTCTCAGCCCAGCCTATGCCATAGTGACATTAAATTGGGATAATGCCCTGCATGTTGCTCTGAGATCATTAAAGATTAACTTGCCCACCTACAGTGTGAGAACATGCCAGGAGCAAATGGCAACTGTTTGGGGGATACTTTCAATTCGGTAGGATTATCAGCTTAAACCAGGACTCACCAAGTGCAGGATCTCCTCTTTGGGGATGTGTATTCATAAGACTATTTTTTCTGAGCGATTCGTTGTATTCATACCATGCAACTTTCTCCTGCAATGCCCAAACTGGTCCCCCACTTGACTGCATGGCAAATGGAAGCCATAGCAGACCAGTACAGATTTCAGTTGCTCCACACAAAGTTAAGTGCAACGCCACTTGGAGTGGTCCTATACCATACTGTCAGACAGTATATGCATATTGAATTTAGGAATAAAGCACCAGTAAACGAAGCAAGAGAAGCTCACACTAGCAGTTAAAATTAATTTAGATTTTCCCAATTCTTTCTGCACTTTGGGAGATGATGGGAGGTTTTCCCTGATACATTGGAGTGTCTACTTTAGTGTAAGCAGTAAGTCTGATAATAAAACCTGGGGACACTATATTGTGCCTTTGAAAAATTAGATTTAAACAATGCTCAGTAAATTTCATATGCTGCCAATTGATTGGGGGTGGAAGGAGGGGTACAATTTCACAGATATGAAGGGTATGAAAACAGCTTTATGGAATGCTTTCATTTGTTGAATCTGTGTATAATGTACCTCGAAATAGCACAGGAGCAAGCAAACCTATTCAAAAAGCCAGTAATTGTTGCTGAAAACATAGAATGCTTAATGTAATAAGAACGCTATTAATGAGGTTTCTCCTGCATTATTCTTTCACTCTACCTCTTCATCTACCTCCCAAAATTCTTTATGAACGGTTTTCAAAGAACTAGTGTGGTGTGTTGGTTTATACTGCCATCTAATGTACTGATGATGATCTGACTTGGGACTGATGTAAGAATACTGTCCCTTTGCAGGTTACTTTCTTCCCAAAATGACTCACTGTGTCATAAATACCTACTCTTCTGCAGTCATTTCTAATGAACAGAATCACAGTGGATGCTGTGATACAGTTTATGATCAGAAACTTGGAATGTTAATTTCTGATAATGAAATAAACTATCGCTTGGTATCCTTGCAAGTGTCGAGTGGAAAGTTTATTGGCATTGGACATAATGCACACAAAAAGGCAAAACAAAGATAAAGGTATTCTATGAAGAAAACTTTGCAAAATGGAGTAAAAAAAGTAGAGATCAACTCTTCTGACAGCCTATTATTATTAATATTTAAATCTCTTACCCTCCATCATAAAAATATTCTAAAAAATTGCACTCACAGGAGTAGGGTGGGTGCTGAAAATATTTATCTTGAGTGCCAAAGATGCATCTTCAGCATTCAGTGGGAACTATATAATAACTATAAAACAGATGCATCTCTGTGGGGAATTCCACAACTTAGCCACACAGAATTCCTTCCCTCTCCTGAGCCACCGCCATCCTGAACCTCTGAGGGCACTGGAATTACCAAGAAGGGCCCATTTCCTGCTCAGCATCCAAGAGAGCCTGTAGGGAAGGAGGTAGTCTTTGAGATATTTGGAACATAAGTTGTTTAGGGGTTTTGAATACTAAAATGAGCACCTTGAAATGGGTTCCAAAATGTCTGGTAGTCAATGCAGCTGATCTAAAATAGGGATTATATGAGTTCTAAATCGAACCCCAGCCAGTAATCTGGCTGTTGCATTTTGGACCAGTTGAAGTTTCTGAGTCCTCTTTAGCACCTGTCTTTCCAGGATTCAAACACAGTTTATTGGCCCTTATCCAGTCCATCACTGCATCTAGACACCAATTAAAAGCTTTCACAGCCCCTCCTGATTCAGATGTTATGGAGAAGTATGTCACCAGCATACTGGAGTTGCCTTTAACAGAATAAGTTAGGGGTCAGCAACCTAAGGCCCATGGGCTGGAAGTGACCCACAGAAATCGTTTGACCGGCCCCCGAGCCACCCCCCGAACCAAGCTACCTGCTTGCACACTGCGTTAAAACAGCGCTGCGCGGGGACTCATTTTCATGGCGCCGAAAATCGCATCTGCGCAGATGCCAAAAATTGCGGGCACTCACGCAATCCGGCCCATGGAGGGATCTCAGTGGGACTGATCCGGCCCAGGCAAGATAAACCTTGCTGACCCCTGGAATAAGTTATGTTGCCTCTCCTTTGCCATTGTTCAGTGATCTTCTGTGTCCACATTGTTGATATTGTAAGAAACTCAGATGAATTTATAATCTGAAGTATCAAGAATTTTCCCACCAGGAACTGAGAGTCTAGGCATCAAGTGAATTTAGATCATTTAAAAGCTGAATATAGTGATGTACACATTTCATTTCAGAATGTAATACCTTGTGTGAACTTTTCTTTCTATTTTCCCCCCAGTAAATAATGTGGGTATGTCATATACTTATCCTGAATTCTTCCTTGACATTCCAGACTTAGATAAAGTAAGTATTGTCTTCTACTCTTGCCCCTCTTTTAAATTTTTAAGATAGACTTGTAAAAAAATAAGCACAACTTTGGATGTATTTCTATAAACATGATAAAAATAAGGTAGAATACGGTAGCAAAAAGAACAAAGAGTTTTCTATGCAGTCTCATAAATAATTGAATACTAAAATTGAGGTTCACAGTGATCATGTAATCCAAATACAAGGATTTAGGTTGTTGTCACAACCCAGTCCCATCTCCTAAATACTGATAAGATGGCTTTAAGTTAAACTTACTTTTGCATATCTTTTTCTTAAGGTGGTTAGGCAGGTTTCCTCTCAATTTTATTAAGGTATTTATTTTGATACAGAGGAATCAACAGTTGAGGCTACCATGCTAGTCACTAAGACCAAAAATTGACCGATTTTGTGTTTTGCAGCTACTTCATGTTTAAATTATCTTGACTGTTTTAACTGCTCATAAAATTTGGAATATTAGTGCCATGCTGCACATAAGTGAGCAATTCTGGGTTAACCATAGTGCTGAATGGGTTTTACTGCACCATGCTATCAAGTTGATAAAACCTATTTCCACCCACTTGGGTTTTCCTTGGCTTGGTTTGACTAGCAATAAGCCAAAATATTTTCTCAAAACTTGAGAAAATACAGGTTTATTTCTAGCCACTCAGAGGTAAATCAGAGTTTGCTGAGATTTGTATTGTCAGCCAAGAAATTATGAAGCTAAGGAGCATCTCTGTCACAATCTCTTGTCCAGTTCTCTTCCTTATCACATGAAACAGTGTAAGTTATTCAATAGCATTTATTACCAGAGCAAAGGTACTTATTCTGCATACCTGTGAAGTGTTCTGTATTGAGTATAGCTGATGTGATAGTGGGAAACTTTTGTGTTATTTTTAAAATTTAACAACTGCTTCTTCATCTGACTTAAGTAAATAAGCACGTCATACATCTCAATTGCTGCCGTTTTTGTTTAAATCAGGAATTTATGGTATCCTGCTATAGTGCCGTAGTTCATTGGGGTTTTTTTTCTTATAGACAATTGACAAGCTGGTGAATATTAATATCATATCTGTGTGCAAGGTAAGTGCCACCTTGTGTAGATGTGCGGGGAGATGATATGGCACCTTTTTTCTATTTGTCAGTGTCAAGTAATTCAGTTGTTTGTCATAAATATCGTATTCATCCATGCAGTCTGCCCATTGTAGGTGCAGTTTCACACTCCTGTTTTGTCAGGTTGTTACAATTGCTTGCCTGGAGCAATAGCTTCCACATAAGTCTGTTTTCTTTAGTAGCCTCTGGAAGTGACTCTGCAGCTGATAATAACACAACTTTCTCTCTCAGAATGCTCTGGGACGCTATAGGGAAACATCAGTGGTGGCTGTAAGCAATGGTACACTCAGAGTGTTACTGCTGCCTGCCCATCAGGGTTCATCAGAGGGAATCCACCAGAGAGCATTTTGCTCTCTGTAGCCAGCTCTGGTCCAAAACTATTCTTTTGTTACCCACAATGCTCATTTTTTAAATAATCTTGGAGTTCTGAAAATTAGTTATAATTTCTAAAGCACTATTCCTGGCATCTCCCCCGCTTCCATAGAATATGATGTTGGGGAAGGAGCCCCACTGATTCACATAAGGATATCACACCAGTGCAAATGCTCACATCTGCTGACTGTTCTTGTATTCAAAGAGCTTCAAGCATGTGGCCTTTCTGAGATGTTTCAGGTGGACACTGCATATGAAGTGGTCATGAGCTCTTGATTGCCCTTGTAATCACTATGATTACATGGTTTGTCCCATTACCACATGAAAATGCTTAACTGAAAGACTGTAAGTGATAGTTAATAAAAGCAGGAAATACCTTTATATTTGTCATATTTAGCTTGGATTTAATTCTCCAAGGTCCCCTGTTTCTGTTATGTTTGCATGGTTATCCTTTCCTCCATCTCCAAATACAATGAGATGACAGCTTTAAAAAAGAAGTTTATCATAGCAATTATAAAAGGTGACATTAGGAATAGCGCTCCCAAAATGTAAATTGCTATACAAGTTTGTACATTGTTGCAACTTCTGTCTGGCATAGGTCGTTTTTCATTCCCGCTTTACACATTATGATGAGTGTGACTCAGCAAAAGTCACCGATTTACTCCATGACGGACCCAGGACATCTATATCCTCCAAGGCCATCTCTTGGCAAAGGAATTGTGTAGGATAGGACATTATGCAAAATGTGTACAAAATGGCTGTCCCCATTCTGCTTCAATTATGACACCAATGATTTGTTTAGACCTGGCGCAATCCATTAAAAAGAAGAAGCATTGTAGCCAGACCACTTCAGTTCATGTCAGCAAGATTTGCCCGTGGCTCACAGCCATTAAAGATGATGATAGAGGCCGCATTGTGGATTGCATTGCTTGTCCTGTTCTCACACTTTAGCATACTGTGATGCTGGATTTTAGAATTGGTTGGTGCCTATTAAGAAGAATCACAGAATCTAAAGTAGAATGGAGCCAAAAGAGCATCTATTTCTCTTTCTACCTTAAATCACAGTACCATACAAACTTCATGATAATCCTCACAAAACTTCCACTGTCCTTATGCCATCATTTGAACTTTGTGGTATGGTGGTGGCGTAACTAGAATTCTTGTACGTCTACCAGAAATCAGTGCCTAGAATCAGTATTATGAGGTATTTGACTGTAATTTCACCAAGATGGTATTTAGAAGCCCCTAATCAGTGGTGCTGTAGCAGTACAAACAAGAAAGAAGAGCAGACTACTGGTGTGTGCTGTAACAAGTACAGATGATTTCATCTGATTCACTGCACATGCTTTGTGCAAGAACCAAGTGACACCAATAGAATAAAAATATGCTGCTTCCACAAATTAAGGCCTTCAATTCTCCTAGACTATTTTGAGGTGAAGAGGTGTTGGTTTCTTTATGAGGAGACAGAGAGGCTTCCCTCAATCTGGTGTCTGCATCCCACTCAGTCACCAGGTTTTTGTTTCTTATTTATTTTTTCAGATGACACGATTGGTGCTGCCCAGCATGCTGGAAAGGTGAGTCACACAAATACTATCCAGACAGTCATCATTATTTATAGGGGAGAATCCTTTCTTTGAAAAATTCATTACTATGACTAATCAGCCTGGCCTCCATGTTTCAGTGGCAAAGTAATGCCGTGTGAGTCATGGTTCTGGGTGCATGAATCATCAGACGTGGAAGCCTATCTCCACTTGATTCCCTTTTTTATTTTCCCTTTCCCCTTCACTGTTGTGGTGATTTCTTTTAAAATAGAATTTTAAAAAACCCTTCTGACTCATCGGTGTGAACTCAACAACCTGCAGTTCTGTGGGGGTGGCTGTAGTTACTGGGATGTTCCCGGGAATAACCTTCTTAAAGCCATTTCTGAGAGGCACGAGAAGCAAAATGGGTATAGAGAATAAGCTCTAGTTGTATTGCAGGTGGCAGATTGAGGGAAGTGTGCAAACAAAAGCAGGAAGCTCCTGGAATAACATGGTGCTGTAATATATACAACCTTTTGGTGCTTGTCTCCTGTACTGCTTCCTGCCTGTGAGGCTAGCACACCAAGTCCTATAGAGTTTGTGTTGGGGTTTCCCAGTCGCTTGACTGCTGCACGACGCAGATAGTCCTTCTGAAAGTGTAATACTCCCCACTTCCTCCATTCCTCCCACATGAATTAGAAAGAAAGAATGGATGCACCTGCCATTGGTATCTTCCTCATTTTGCTTCAGACTGGTATAAGTGTCATTTTCAGCACTGTGTCTTGTTCAACATTACAAATGGTCTTCCATCCTTTCAGGATTCTTCTATCGCAGAGGGGAATGTGTGGTATTCCAGATGTTGCTGAGCTATTGATCACGTCATCTCTGATGACTGGTCATGCTGGCTGAGTGATGGGAGATGGGAGGCCAGCAGCATCTCAAGAGCCATAGGTTTCCCACCCCTCTTCTGCAGGGATCAATTCCCTCTTGCTCAGTTGAGACACATACTAAGGTAGCTGGAAAACTAGTCTCGCTGCAGGTGATCTATTCCAATCTCTTCATTCTTGGTAGAGTTCCCGCTTGCCTCCATAAGAATTCTGCCCACCCACTTTTACTGACCTGCGGGGACTCAGTCTAGAGATCAAATAATTGCTAATGTATATTTCACAAGCTTCTGAATTTCTTGACTTCAACCGTAACAATGTTGATGCAGACAGTTCAATTCCCTTTTATAGATTTCCTCTTATATGTGTTCCTCACATATCTCAGACTTGCTCGGAACTTCTCTGAGACCGTAGTAGTCTTTAGCATCCAGTTTAATACTGCCATACCACTTGCTCTAGTTCTGAGCATAATACAGTGGAGATCATCTGTTCACTCCCTGTGGATGATGGTACACTATCCTTCTCCGGAGTTTAGGATGATCAGGAAGAGTTGGAAGTAGGCAACTCTGGGGTTGTGATGATTGTAAAGACTCTTACCTCTGCCACCATTGCATTTGCTCCATGATGTCCAGAGGAACTCTTCTGGATGGTGAAAGGTCATGTTATTAACTATAGTTTTGTATCCAGTCTTTCATACTTTTTAGCTACAGGTTCAAATATGCAGTTGCATCTCCACTCCAGAGTTTTCTGAATAAAACCAATTATTTGGATCTGTTCTAGGCTGGTTTTAGGCCTTGTTTTGGCACAAACAGCTGTGGTGGATAACATATCTGGGAGATGGGCAAGGGAAGAAGAATAAGAGTTTGGATTTGATATCCCGCTTTATCATTACCTGAAGTGCCAGCCTGCTGTTTCTTTTGGATCTGTCAGTAGTTTTCAGAGCTATCAACTGTTATATGCTTCTGGGCCATCTTGCTGGGATGAGTATATGTGATACCATTCTTCCAGCAGTTCCATTACCATACAGATGTTTGTACTCAGAAAGTGGTGATTGGAGAATGCTGTCTTACCCTGTGGCCTTTGACCTATGGTGTACCACAAAGTTCCATTTTTCCCCTCGTGCTTTTGAGTATTTACATCAAATCCGCTCCTTCCTCCTGGGCCGTGTTCAGAAAGTGGTGGTGGGGGATTAGTGTTCAGACCCTGGGCTCTCACTTGTGGGGTGCCTCAGGGTTCTGTCCTCTCTCCCATGCTTTTCAACATCTACATGCAGCCGCTGGGAGAGATCTTCAGGGGGTTTGGGCTGGGTGTTCATCAGTATGCAGATGATACCCAGCTCTACCTCTCTTTCAAATCAGAACCAGTGAAGGCGGTGAAGGTCCTGTGTGAGTGTCTGGAGGCGGTTGGAGGATGGATGGCGGCTAACAGATTGAGGTTGAATCCTGACAAGACAGAAGTACTGTTTTTGGGGGACAGGAGGCGGGCAGGTGTGGAAGACTCCCTGGTCCTGAATGGGGTAACTGTGGCCCGAAGGACCAGGTGCGCAGCCTGGGAGTCATTCTGTCCATGGAGGCACAGGTCAATTCTGTGTCCAGGGCAGCTGTGTATCAGCTCCACCTGGTACGCAGGCTGAGACCCTACCTGCCCACAGACTGTCTCGCCAGAGTGGTGTATGCTCTGGTAATCTCTCGCTTGGACTACTGCAATTCGCTCTATGTGGGGCTACCTTTGAAGGTGACCCAGAAGCTACAATTAATCCAGAATGTGGCAGCTAGACTGGTGACTGGGAGTGGCCGCCGAGACCATATAACACCGGTCTTGAAAGACCTACACTGGTTCCCAGTATGTTTCCGAGCACAATTCAAAGTGTTGGTGCTGACCTTTAAAGCCCTAAACGGCCTCGGTCCAGTATACCTGAAGGAGCATCTCCACCTCCATTGTTCTGCCAGGACACTGAGGTCCAACACCGAGGGCCTTCTGGTGGTTCCCTCGCTGCAAGAAGCCAAGTTACAGGGAACCAGGCAGAGGGCCTTCTCGGTAGTGGCACCCTCCCTGTGGAACGCCCTCCCCCCAGATGTCAAAGAGAAAAATAACTACTAAACTTTTAGAAGACATCTGAAGGCAGCCCTGTTTAGGGAAGCTTTTAATGTTTAATAGGTTATTGTATTTTAGTCTTTTGTTGGAAGCCGCCCAGAGTGGCTGGACCCAGCCAGATGGGCGGGGTATAAATAATAAATTATTATTATTATTAAATCTTTGGATGAAATCATCTGGCGTTTTTGAGCTGAGATGTCACCAGGATACAGATGACACACAGCTTTTCCTCTTGATTCCATTGTCTGATCTCAGGGAAGCAGTGGAGGTGATGAACCAGTGTCTAGAGTCAGTGCAGGGTGAATAAAGGTTAACAAGCTGAAACTTAATTTCACAAAGCAGAGTTATTATTGGTTATGGGTACTGGAGACCTAGATAAGATAGTTCAATCTGTCCTGGTTGGGGTTACACTGTTCTTTAAGTAGTAGGTATGTAACTTGGGTGGGGGTATTCCTTGATCCATCACTTTCCATGGATGCTAACTTGTGTTTTGTCATCTTCAACTGATAATCCATCTGTGACCAAACCTGGAGAAGATGGTCTTGGCATAAGTAATTCATGCAAAGAATCCACCACCATGTTTGGTGTATAATATTTGTATACTATTTTAGGATGACGCTGATGATGACAGTAATGATAATAATAAATGTGCACTTTGACTTTATAAAACATATTTTATAGCCACAAGAATTGAGAACAAAAAGCATTAAACATCAAATGCATTGCAACCATAAATTGGTGGTTTAGTACTGCAACGATCATGATTTCACATATACAAATAGAAACTAATCCCCTGCCTCAGCCCACTCTGTGCGGTATAATAAAACCACAGTAGTATGAAATTGATGCCTTCTATAAAATAGACAGAAATTGATTATTAAAAATAATTAATAGTTGCAAGGCAGTTCACAGAACTAAAGCAACATAAAGCAATTAAATACATAGCTACTCCGTTTCCTATCTAAAAATAGCAGCACACCACACTTCACCAGAAAGTGCACTGAAATAAAAATGTCTTCATAGTCTGCTTAAAGGTCAATGCAGACCATTCTGACCACTCGTGAGCAGCATCTTGTGCAAGTAGATGGTTGTTAGAACAGACTGACACTCCCTGAGAAGCAAATGCTATGCAGTCTTTCTCGAGGTGCTAGAAATTGTTCCAACCCTCTTAAGAAAAAGATCCACATTCTGTGGTAAGGTTACTTACATTCTGCATAAAGCCAAATTCATCACCTGTTATGTATATTCTATCCATAACCATACTGCACAAAGATAAGTGGTACACTGTTCAGCACAACAGCACAATCTTTGCCTAGAGCAGTGGTGCACAATTCAAATCACTGCAAACATTAAATTGTTGCCCCCCCCCCCGCCGCCTCTAGAAGTTAATTGTATTACAGAGGCAGCTTGCTTTTTACCACTTTACATAGAGCTGGGGCAGACGAGGGTTGCCATAACAACAATGGGAGAGCTAAATATAGCATGTTTTTCTACAATTTTGCTTAAGGTAGAATGCTGATGAGGTATTAGGGTGTGTTCAGTCAGTCACTTTGTGCATTCATGTTAGACAAATCTGATTAGAGAGAGCTAGAGAATGTGTAGTAAAATTTTATATATAAAGAGATCCATTGCCTCAGTTCCAGCTTGCCAAGCTATTGTCCGGTCTCTCTCACACCTTCTACCCCCCCACCCCGCCACGATCTTGGTATCTGAGCAAAGTCTCCATAATTGCTGTTGGTTTTATAATTCTTATCCTCTAACCTATCTTGGGGTTAATTTGTAGCCTTGACTTTCACAAAGGAAAAATGCTTGGATGGAACCATTGTTGAACGGGAAACGTTTTGTTTTGTCATTGAATCTGTTCCGGCTAGTGCCCCACTTTATCATGCGTTGTACCTACAAAGAGATAACCTTAGTGCCCTGGACTTCAGGGAAATCTTGTAGCCACTAGGACTGTAGCATTAAAATATTTGGATTGCTCCATTTTAAAAACATTTTTAATCAACTGCAAATTGGGTAAGAGACTTTTAAATTTGTTGTACTTCTTATTTAGTACTGGTAAAAACTGCAGACGGAAACCGCCATGTTAAAAAATGCATTCACTTTTTGTGTGTGAGAGAATGAAGAATGCCCGTTCTGAATTATGCCTGTTGCAAAACATGCATGCTTAGTATAAAGGAAAAGGCATGTACTTGGTTTTTAGAGCATTTACTTTCTTACAGTTTTCTTGAATGCATGCTTACTTGGATTCTTATTCTATTATCCAGCTCATTGAATTAATGCAATTAAGATTTCTAGGAGCAGCTATTTTTGAAATTGACCCACCAACACTGTGTAGATAGTGTTGCGTACTTATTGCAATATCTTTCCATTATCCATTTTCTTCAGTATTCCACAAAGTCATGTTCCCAATGCACAGGAAGTATTAACTTCCTTCTCTGTGCTAATTATCACTCCCCTCCCATATAACATTAACATATTAATTGTAGCTATCTTGTGATGGCTTGAATGCATGAAATAACTGTCCTCAATCACATGATGGTGACTTTAAAAGTTAGAATGGAGGATTTGAGAGAACCCAGTGAATTCCCCTGCTGTGAGTTGCATGGAAGTAATTCTTTCCCTCCTCAGGCAACTGGCTAACTACAATTTTGCTTTAAAACATCTTACCCAAATTACCATATTTCATTTACAATAGAAGAGGTCCTAAAGTTTGGCTTTTGGCTTATTCGCAACTGAAACAAAAACTCCAAAATTGTTTGCAAAGAACATTCTCTAAATGAGTAGTTTGATCTAGTAAAATATAATTGAGCTTGATGGGTTTTTTTAACCTGTAACAGGAAAAGCATACTACATTGTGTAAAGCTGGAATTGCATTTTGTTTGAAATGATACCTGCAAAAGGCAAATCCAGTTGTTAGGGGTGGACCATGGGCAGCATTTTGAGATGAGTGTAGAGTGAGTAAGATAGTCTAGGGATCAGACCTGATGAAAGAGGTAGGGCCAAAGGTCAAACAGGGTCAGGGTACAAGCTAGGAGTTGGAACCAAAGAAACACGAAAGAGCCCAAAATTGGGCAAGAAATTTAATAATTTGCTGTACTATTTTGTTCAGGTACTGGTAAAAACTTCAGCATTCTGCCCAGCATCTAGTCCAGCATTCTATTTTTACATTGGCCAACCAGATTCCTGTGGGAAGCACACAAGCAGGACATGAGCACAGTAGCAATCTTCCACTCATGATCTGGTGCAGAATGCCACGGCGAGACTCCTTACAGGGTTCTCACCGTGGGATCACATTCATCCAGTGCTTTACCAGCTGCACTGGCTCCTGGTGAAGTACAGGCTCAGGTTTAAGGTGCTGGTTTTGACCTTTAAAGCCCTATGTTACCTAGGACCCTTGTACCTACGGGACCACCTCTCCTGTTATGCCCCGCGGAGGACCTTAAGGTCCATAAATAATGACACTTTGGAAGTCCCGAGGCCCAAGGAGGTTAGATTGGCCTCAACCAGGGCCAGGGCCTTTTCAGCTCTGGCCCTGGCCTGGTGGAATGCCCTACTGCAGGAGATTTGACATTTTTCCACAGGGCCTGCAGGACGGAGCTGTTCCACCTGGCCTTTGGGCTGGACTCAGTCTAACCCCACTCTCATTTTTTTAAAAAAATAAATAAATTATGGTACGCCTTATATGGGATTTTGTACATAAATTTTGCCTCTACTTTTTTTGCTGGCCCATGTGGGACCAGCGTGGCTAGTTGGCCCTGGTGAATATTTGACGTTTTCTCCTCTTGTGGCTTTGATCTATGGGCTACCACTAAAACGAGGCTCCATTTTAAGCTGCATTTTAAACTATATTCTAACTTATATTTTAATTAACTATTTGTTTGGGGGTTGGTTTTTTTATGTTTTTGTATTTGGTGTTAGCTGCCCTGAGCCCGGTCTTGGCCGGGGAGAGGGGGTATAAATAAAATTATTATTATTATTAAATAAGAAGCAGGACTGAGGAATAAGTTGGACAAAAAACAAAACAAAAAAAAACACCCCCAAGACAGAATTCACGAACATGCTAGAGTTCAGGAAGACCTTTATGCTTCTTCCTACCCAGAAGGAATCAGTGGGTGGGTGGAATCAGGCAAGAAAGTTCTTTGCTTAGAAGGCCAATTCAGTGACATAGGGCAAGGCAGCTGCATACAGATCCAGCACCTCCCGACAGCCATGTTGGTGATAAAATGGATCTTTACATTAGAAGGTTAAAGTTTTGTACTTCTTGGAATAGCAGTAGATGCAGCATTTTCAGTGTTTACAAGTAACCACGTTCATTAGTCATGCATAGACTTCCCCTGCTTCTTAGCTTGTGGGAAACTGCCATGCTGTAGAAATAAATTAACAAATTGTCTAGGAGCACCTTAGAGACCAACTAAGTTTGTTCTGGGTATAAGCTTTCATGTGCATGCCCACTTCTTCAGATACACTGAAACAGAAGTCACCAGACCCTTATATGCCATGCTGTAGAAAGGATCATCAGGATTTCAGCTGCAAAGTAGCAAATACTTGAAGAAACATTCCTTTGTTTTTTTAAAACAATCATTGACAACAACATTTGTCTCCTGTAAAACCTGTACAGTGTGCGGAATCAGAATTATTTGTCCCTATTAACTCATGCTGCTTTTCTTTTAATTGGCATCTGAAGAGGTCTCTCTGAATGCACACATAGGTGTGTTGACTTTCATTTTATAGCAGAAGCATGACCCAAGATTGTGGGTTGGCACCAGAGGATTGTGAGGTTGGGCATTTCTCTTGGAAAAAAAGTAAGCACCAAAGCAGGAGCCAGAGAGAAGCTAAGCTCTTAAGAGACATTAAATTATCATTTCAGAACAACACGTTGTTATCACATATCCATATGCACAGGTATATGCACCCACAGAGCACATGCTGAGACCTAAACTGTCACTTAGGGAACTGGCCATGGAAAAAATATTTGTAAACCAGACTTTGGTTTCTGTAATAACCTGTTTCAGTTCTTCTGTTTCTAATGGTTCATTTGATATGTTATGTTTACCTCTTCAGGTCCAAGGGAGTTATATTAAACATTTCCTCTTTTACTGCGATTAACCCAACTCCATTGCTGACTGTGTATTCTGCAACCAAGGTAAATTTATTTATCCCTTTATTGCATTTATGTACTGTGCATCCTACCAAGTTATCTGGATGGTATACAGTAGAATATAATTCACAATAAAATCCTTTAAAATTAAAATTGTAAACTAAGTCACAAAGAAGAAAGCCCAGCAAAAAGTGAGCATAGGTGTTTTTATATATATATAGTTAAGAGATGACATGATGTTGTCTCTGTTCATGCTTTCCCCCCAGATGTTGTGAACTGCACCTCCTATCAGGAATAAAAAAATTAACCAAGTGCTTTCTGGTGGGCAGTCACTGTAATTTGTAAGCATATTTAGCAAATGAACTTGTTCATATTTCAAGCAACATTTAGAGCATGGGATAGCACACATCAAAGTTGACGTCTCTAGAATTGCACAGGGGGAGGGGGGTATTCCAGAGAACCAATGTCACGATGGAAAAGTTGTCAACGAGATGGCAGTCTACCAGCCATGATGGCACAACCAGCTGGACTGCCTCCAATGATGGTCAAGATTGATGAGGTCTGTCTAGGGGAAGGGAGTCTACCAGGTATCCCAGTCCCAAGTTGTTCAGGGCTTTATATGTTAAAAACATAGCACTGAGCATGGTTTGATAGCAAATATAGGCAGCTATTCTTTTTACTCTTTTAGTGCATGTGTGCTATGTATTTATTTCATTTATGAGTCACTTCCCATGAGGCATCCCAAAGCACTTTACAAAAGGTGTATTATGTGTATAGCTAGGTACCCTACTAAGCACCCTAACTGCTGCATTCTGCTCTAGTTGCAGCTTCCAAGCTAAGCCCAAGGGTAGCCCCACATAAAGCTCATTACAGTAATCTAATTATGAGGTTACAAGTAATTATGAGATTATTTGTCCTTCTGAGTTTGCCAGATGCAAAACTCCCATATCAGACCTTAGTTAGCTCCTTCTCATGAGATTTAAGCCAGTCTTGTTCACTATTGAGGTTGGTTGGATATAATACTAAACCACCATTTAACATTATGAATATAAACCACTGTGAGGTTTGGGCTCATGTAGCTCTCTCCCTCCTCCAGCGCATCTGTGAGGAGCTGAGGAGCTTTTGTTTCCAGTTTAGATTAACCACAGCTTGCTGTGTTATGCAACACAAGTTGTGGCTATTCTTGACTAAGTTCGGTTGAAACAAATTAATTTTAAAACAGTTTAATAAAGTGAGTTTTTTCAACTACCCTTAGTTAATATTAATTACAGCTGAGGAATCTTGACAGCATGCTAACCTGTAGTTAATCTGAAATGGAAGTGGGAAACTTCTGATTGCCTTGTGGCTTCTCTGAAGGAAGACAGAGTTGAGGGGAGAATGTGAGGCTGTGACTCTTCCTCGTCATGTTAAACCATCGTTTGGCATTATGTTACAAGCCACACCGTAATCTCTAAAGGCTGAGATTCTTAGAAAATTTAATGTTGCATTTCTAGGGAACTGTGGTATGTATGTTGCATATATATATGGCACTCACCGTTGCCATTTCTAATTCATCTGTTTAAGGTAGATGAGAATATAGTTTGAACACAAAGTGATGGTTATGAACATGTTTTAGTTGGTGAAGATGATATACTTTTTAAAAACTGAGCTAAGCATGTGATTCTAGAAACTCTGGAGAAAGGAGAGCATCTAGATTAGCATTCTCATCCTGATCAAGCATGGTTTGGTTGCAGTCCCCTTGTATAACTTCCGTCACATACACACAGCTTTTGGCTTGGAATATCACCTTCTGCCGAAGGCTATATTTGTAGAATTAGGCAGGGTTTATCTTTCATGAGGAAAATATATAAATTATGCTATAAGTTCATCTGCATATAGTACATTCCTAACATACTTTTCCATTGCATTTATTTAGGCTTTTGTTGATTACTTCTCTGAAGGTCTCAGTGCAGAGTACAAAAATAAAGGTGTCATTCTGCAGGTGAGGTGAACTGTTTTGTTGTTAATACCTCTACTGTTGTTTAACTGGTTGTTACCAGTTAAGATGCTGACCTCATTCCAAAGTGTGGCAACATCTGAGGCTTTGCTTGGAGTCCCAGTGCTGACCTAGGCTTGGTGGTATCCACTAGAAGCAGTGCCTTTTCATCAGTTGTGCCCACTTCGTGGACTGAACTCCCTCCGGAGGTGGCTCTATTTAATTATTTATTTTTAGTGTCTGCCTGAACATGACTGTTCCAAAATTTCTTTAAGGTGGAACAGTTTCTTATATTGAGTTGCTTTTACTGCTGCTGCTGCTCTTCATAACCAATTTTTGTGTGCTAATTGATACGTACAAGGTTTAATGTGTAACTTTATGTTTTATTTATTTAGTCCATTTTTAAACTGCTCTTCATCAATTAAGAACCTAGGGCAGTTTAAAATATATCTATTTAAAACAATAACATTCAGTGGGTGACATTCCTTACTTAGGAGTAGACTCATTGAAATAAATGGATTTAACTAAACTGATTGTGGTTGGAAGATCCTTTGCTGTTTTTCTGTAACTTTGGGGAAATGGAACACCTATGTAAGCTATCTTAGAAGATGAATGAATAAAATATTTAATTGAGAAAAGGCAATGTGGAAAGGTATTACAGTACTAAATGTGTATTTAAAGAATGACAGAGATGAATAGACCAGCTCTTAGACCAAAAACTGTATAATGCTATGACTGCTACATTTAGTTTAGTTGCCAGTAGACCATCCTTTGGCGCCACCCAGTGCTGTAGCTGAGCAACACAACTTTAGATACTAGGCAAGTTTGCACGTAATATTAAACCATGGTTTAGCACCACATACATGAGCGAAAGCAATCCCAAGCAAAGACTCATGCTCGCATGTTGAGCTCTTTTTCTCAGCTTTTTCCATGCAGCTGGGAAAAGGACTTTGGCCATGTTTCCTTTCAGTCATCCCATCCAATCAAGATTGTGGTTTAGCACATAGGTAGGACACAAAGGAATATGGTCCCCCATCCCTGGCTTCTCTGCCCAGCCCTAAGGACTCTCCCAAGGCCACACCCTCCACTGTTTCCCCCCCTTCATTAAGTATGTTTACCTGGCTGGAATCTCTCCCTGAACTCTAATAATTCACCTATATTGCCTGGATGCAGGATAGAGAGGCATGTATTAGGTGGATGTAGAAACTACAAAGGTAAAAAATTGTATTCATTGCTGTATCCACTTTTGCCTCCTGCCCACCAGTGGCAGGTAGTTCCTGAAGAGTTGCCCAGAAAGGAACACAGCCCTTGGTCTGAAAAAGGTTACCCACCCCTGGTTTATCACAAACTCTGGTTAATTAAACAAACCCATTTCACAACCTGTTGTTAAAGGTTGATCAGAGTTAGCATGAACTACGACCCCAAGTTTGGACAGCACAACAAGCCAAAGCCATTGTCCTGGCTCTGCAGCTGATGGATTGGGGACGGGGCTTAACATGCAAGCCTAATGCTTCACTTGGGATTGTTCCAACTCAAGCTCACAGTATTAAGCCATGGTTTGGTGTTGGGTGAAAGCGGGACTTTTCAAGACTTACAGTTAATTAACTTATATCTTGCATTTTGGTCTTATAAACTGTGTTAAAGGTTCACTTAAAATCTTGGTTTGTGTATGCAGGATGCTACCCAGAGGTATGGTACAATGAGAGCTACACAGTGAGATGTGGCTTGATACGAGCTACCCATCTTCTATTTCCATTGCAGACAGTAGTCTTATTGGCACCTATAATCAGTATCAAAATGATGCATATTACTACTATTTAAATAAATACTCTGGAAATCAACAGTGACTATAGCTTTTAACTACCCAAATGGTCTTATTTCCACAAGGGGATATTTACATCAGGCCTGCCACATCCTTAAGAACCAGCATACCTGAGTTAGGCATAGTTTGCTACTGCCTTGTGCCACCCCTTCCCCAGTCCTTTCTCCTGATTTGGAATCACTGGATTGGTGACAACAGCAGGGCAGGGAAAGGAGAGAGCAGGTGGGAGCACATATGTGGAAAAGAAGCACCATATCCCTGTCAGCAGTTACCTGATGCAAGGTCTTCTGATGGCCATTTTAGTAGAGATAATGGCTATTGGGGTGGAATAGAACATCAAAAGTGAACTAGTTGCGTTTGGAGAAGAATTTGCACACCATAAATTACTGATGTTTTAATGATTTTCTATAAATTGCTTTGTGAAGTCTACCTAAAAAGCAAAAATATTTAATAATAAATGGTTGAATGTGAAAACATAGTTGCATATGATATAGTGAAAGCTGTTTGCATGTTGAATCACTTCGTATTCATCATGATACTTGTTTCTTGGCATAATAATTATCCATGAAGGCATATTTTAAGAACCAGAAAAACATTCTGCTATTCCTTTCCTTTTCAGAGCGTTCGGCCATATTTTGTAGCTACAAAAATGACCAAAATCCGTAAACCATCAGCCTTTAAACCTACTCCTGAAGCCTATGTAAAAAATGCCCTCAACACCGTTGGTCTTGAGACACAAACTTCTGGATGCGCAACTCATTCATTGGTGGTATGTATTAGTCAGTTTATTGCTCTTAGTACATTTCCTATTTGTGGAAAGAAAATGGGGATGGAGAACCTTTTTGACTCCCATTGCAGGTCAACTTTGACAGATGGGCGGGACAACCTACCTGTCATTCACATGATGTCATGATGACACCAGATAGCTCATAAGTGAGTTGTCCTGCCCACCAGCTGGCTGCCGGGCAGTTGGGAACCACTATGCAAAGCCCTGCACAGCTGATACAGAAGGCTTTAGCTGAAATATTTTTTGCAGGCTTTGGTGCTTTGGCTCCTTGAACCAAATGCTTTCCCTTGCCGATGCATTACAAGGATTGCACTTTTAAGGCTCCCAGTTGTGCCATGTCTTTATTTGCCCCACACCTGACATCATATATGACAATAAATTTGAATCCCCCAGCAGGCTAAGTTTGGTCAATGGACTGGAGGCTCCCCTCCTGTTTTAGAATATCCGGTGTTGTTTGTGGGCTTCCTATAGGCATCTGGTTGCCACTGTAAGAACAGGTTGCTTCCATCATTCCTGGCAATTGTCTATTTTTGCTGGGGCTGATGGCAGTTGTCATTCTTCAACATCTGAAGGACCAAAGATTTTCCACCCCTGAGAGTCCTTTGACCTGATCCAGCAGGGCTCTTGTATCTTGTTAATATCTGAGTGTCACTGTTATAATTTGGTTTCCCTTATAGTCACATTAAATTCTGGTCTTCAGAGATTTGATAATGAACCTTTTTCTTCCTCCATTTCCTAGGCCTGGTTTAGCAGGTTTGTGCCCAAGTGGTATTTCACAAAGCTGGCCCTTGACACGAATCTAAAACTGAGAGCTTATTCTTTGAAGAAATTAAAGGAGAATTGAGTTGCATCATCATGACCAATTTGTTGGTAGTTCTGTGGAGCGAAATACTGGTCATATCTTAAAGTTCTTTCGAATGGGATTTTCTTTTGGGACCACAGTCCAGCGTGAACAAAGAGAAAACTGAGGAGCATGGAAAAGGCAACCAGCAACTTGTTGATTTTGTTTGTTGTTCTTCTGCATCATTGTTTTAGAATGTGCTTTTTCGATGTGACTTGGAACAGTAATGGGTACTTGTAGTTACTAGCTTTACTAAAATGCACTTAACACCAACAGATGTTTGGTTTGGGAAATGATGTCAATGCGATAAATTTGACAGAATTTGATGTGGAACATTGTTGGTGTTGATACAGAACAACACTAATATTGGTATTGAACTGGTCAATGCAGTATTTCTTTCATTAAATATTTGTTGTCATTTATTTTTACTTTGAAAGAAGTCACACAATGGTCTTTATTATGAATGAAATTGGACAAGTTCCCCCTCCATCACACATGGGCCACAAGATCCTTGCCTTTTCAGCATAGACTTCTTTAGGCATTTCACTCCCTTCTACACGATCTCCCCACCTAAGACACTGTAAATGTGAAATTGTTGCAGCCTACATGATCAGATTGAAGTGAAAGGGCTTAATGTGATAGCTGTATAGATTTTATCCATTGGCAATACTTTTGTTTACTGATGCTAGTCCTTTTACTAAAATAGTATATTAAGAGAGGTGGGCTTTATCAAACTGTTGGAAGACAAATGCTACAGATTGCAGTAACAAATCTTGCCAGTTACTGATAGTGATTTAGCTCAGTTGGTAGAGCAATGAGACTCTTAATCCCAGGGTTTTGGGTTCAACCCACACCTTGAATGAAAGATTCCTGCACTGCAGGGAGTTGGACTACATGATCCTTGTGGTCTCTTCCAATTCTATGGGAAAAAAAACCTTAAATTACTCGTACCCTGGATTGAAAGATGTGCTTGTACAACAGGGCTTTCCTGCACCACCCCTCCCAAAGCTACCTCTGAGGATTGAGGAAACCCTTTAGAATAGTATAGAGTGTCACAGAAGGCTACAATAGGAAGGGAAAATTGGGGGAAAGGGGAATCTTGTGGAAACCGACATGCCCTCCTCTTGCACCAGAACTCTTGGATCCAAGGCTATGTTGTTGCTTAACACACAGTGTTTGAAATTAGATACTGATAGAAATATTATTTGATGTGTATATATTGGCCCTATGCTACAGACCCCATGAACTGAGAATGTACAGCATAGAAACTACATTTTAAAAAATTGGCTGCCTTTACATGCAAATTAAGATTTCAGTGCTAACGTCCTAGACTTTCTCTGCTCAAGCATTACCAGTTGTATGTGTTTTACTCAAGTAAAATTAAAATGCTGTGTCTTTAGATCAGAGAAGAGGAACCTTTCTGATACTGAGAACCACAAAATCTTTTGGGGGCTGTACATTGGGAAGACGCAATGTGGGGGCCTGAAGTTAGCAGTGGCATTGACCAGAGATAGCAATAGGCCACTCATTTTATTTCTGCTACCCCCCCCCCCTTTATTCTCTTCCCCAAGCACAATTAAGTTTTGAAATAAAGTTCCCATTTCTGCAAATGGGACCCTCCCCCATCCCTTCTTAACTGCTGGGTGGGATTGAGGAGGGGAGACTGGGGGACCAGATCCAAAGGTGCAGCAGTCTGGCAATTTCCTGCATTTAGATGCTTTCATGGCGTACAGAGGACAGTTTTATCACCATAGCACATGAGCTCTGTATAGAGAGCAAAGAATCCTAAGGGTGCTGAACTAACGGTGGTTAGTGGCAGCTGAAGAACCCTACCTATAAGGTGAATCAGAAAAGCAAAAATTGCCCACTACCGTTGCCCTTAAATGATGGATCGTGATCAGTTGCCTATGTTCTGAAGAATCACTTGTGTGTGTTTGAGCACATTTATTGATGGTAGAAAATCTGCATTCTGTTTCATCTACTACCAATGGAGAAGCAATTTAAGGCTCTGGTTTGAAAGTAAATGTGTGCTAAATGATACTGTACATAGAAAATAAATGAAAACCGATGCAATGGTGCTGATAAGGATTGAGAAACAAGTTTTGTCCCAGAATGTGCTTGAATTTTCTAAATAGTTATTTGAAAGAAGATGGATTTTGGCTATATAAAGCTTCTCTTACAACCATTAGTAAGGCAGTTGCAATGCATGAGGTGAAGCACTGCTGCTGTGCTATCCCAGCCGCAAGACTGCTCAAAGAGATGGGGTAGGGCAGGGGAAGCAATGGGTTGGTGGCGGCAGCAGGCATAGATGCAGACACACGTGCACCCACTAACACAAGGAAAAGTTGTGCTTTTCTAAACAAAAAGCAACAACCATAGAGAAGACAGGGTTAAAGAAAAAGTGCTCAAACATGCAAACATACAAATAGATATTTTATGGAATATTAAATATCCATTTGTTTGTATCTCATTTTTGAGCATTTTATCCTTTTGTGCACCTACTACCAACCTTGCTCAGCCTGGTCCAGCAAGCAGCAGTGCCATTGGAGCCAAGAGGGTGGTGGAGTGGTGGTGCCCCACCTTGTGTGCTGCAGCCATTGGAAAATTAAGAGCATATTTGAGATTGCTGGCTTGCCTATGTAGCTTGACTGCTTTTTTTCCTAACCTATTTTGTAAAACTTTCGATTTAAAATAAAACAATATTTCTCATCATGTTTAATGGGGATTCGTTTATTTAGCCAATCTTGCCTGTTGTTGTTTAGTCGTGTCCAACTCTTCGTGACCCCATAGACCAGAGCACGCCAGGCACTCCTATCTTCCACTCCTATTACAGTGCAAAACACATTCGGAACTCTTGTTTCTTCCCAGCGTAAATCAGTGGAGCAGACAATCTCAGCAATAGGCAGGCCCTCGCTCCGCTGAAGGTAATTACAGTAAACAGAGACTGGAAGGCCGCCTGCCAAGAATGCTGTAGCCATATCCTGCATTAAGTGGGGGCAGAGGGGGGTGGGTTGGACTAAATAACTTCCAGGGTCTCTTTCAATACTGATTTTTTGGGGGGGGGGCGCGGAGAGAAATACACAATCAAATGTCACAATATGTCCTATTCCACCACCTCCAGGATCAGAGGCAGTATGGGACCCCAATGCCAACCAGAGCCGTAGCTAGGTGATCTTGTGCCCCTGGCAGAACTGTCCAGATTCCGCCCCCTAGGTAAAGGGTAAAGGGACCCCTGACCGTTAGGTCCAGTCGCGGATGACTCTAGGGTTGTGGCGCTCATCTCGCTATACTGGCCAAGGGAGCCGGCATTTGTCCACAGACAGCTTCCAGGTCATGTGGCCAGCATGACTAAGCCACTTCTGGCAAACCAGAGCAGCACATGGAAACGCCGTTTACCTTTCCGCCGGAGTGGTACCTATCTATCTACTTGCACTTCAATGTGCTTTCAAACTGCTAGGTTGGCAGGAGCAGGGACCAAGCAACGGGAGCTCACCCCATCGCAGGGATTCGAACCGCCAACCTGATCGGCAAGTCCTAGGCTCTGTGGTTTAACCCACAGCGCCACCCGCGTTCCTCCATTTCTCCCCCTAGCCACGGACAAATTAGCTCTTCTTTCTGCCATCTTTCCGCCCCTGCCCCCCCATTCCATTCACCCTCTATTTAACCCTTTTCCTATGAGGCAATAATAGATATTTTTATTTATAGACATATTTATGGATATATTATTTAGCCGATTTTGCGGAGGGGGGGGCTCGCTCGCGCTCCTGGCGGGGGCCCACCTCACTACCCCCTAGCTACGACCCTGATGCCAGCTGCTTGGGGGTCAGGGATGGGAGAAGGCTGTTGCTTGCTGCGGCTTCCCCTAAGCTAGGCTAGGTAGGCCGGCGGGCTTTCTGCGGCAGGGCTCCTTCGCGCATCCGGACTTTACTCGGAGGTCCCGGTTTCAGCAGAGGGGGAGGGGCCTGCGCAAGGAATGGTCTGGCGCGCGGGGGGGGGGGGAGGCGCCTGTCGGTTCCCATTCGCGCAGCGGGGCAGAAGGGGGCGGGGGCTTTGGTGAGCGTGCGCGCGCAGGCGGGGGCGGGGCTGCCTCTTTTACCGCAGGTGTCTGGCCGAGGAGGAGGGAGCCGCTGTGTTTTGTGCCGCCGGTGAGTGGGAGCTCCGGTGACGGCGGCGGCGGGGGGCGGGAGGGATGGTAGTTAAAAGGAGGGCGGGAAGAAAGGAGAGGTCGGAAGAGCACGGAGGTTCGGCGGGTGGGCTTTAGGTAGGCCGAGTTGTGAGGAAATAGAAGAAAGGCGGCCTGGTTGTCGCTGCTTATGCTGCTTAAGCCCTGAATTTTGCTTCAGGAAAGGGAGACGCCATACATATATACATATGCCTATGCGTGTGTGTGAATGTGTGTGTGTATATATATATATATATTCACACAGAGAGAGAGACCCCGACCGCGTTCTCTGCCTTCCCTTCCTCAGGCTGCAGCGTAGTTCCGAGCGTGCACGGGTTTCGCTCCCGTGTATGTTTCGCCTCTTCTGAAGAGATTTAAGGGGGGGGGGTCTGCGTCTTTGAGGCCAGGCCGCTGACAGTGCAGGAAGTCCCACTGGATTCAGTGGGAGATCACTTCCAGGTTGTCGGCTCCGTAGCTGTGCTGTTGCTGCTGCATCTTCCAAAGCAATAGTTCTCCCCGTGTATGATTTCCGCCCGCCCCCCCCAACTAGATTTATATCTTGCCTTTACTCCCTCCAGGAGCTCAAGGTTTGGCCTGCACGCTTCTTTCCCTCTCCCATTTATCTTCACTTGCCCAAGGTCACCCAGTGAGCTCCATGGGTTGGATATGAATCCTGATCTCCCAGGTCTGAGTTTGACACAGTAACCATCACACATTGGGAACTGAGAGTAGGTTGCCTGAGGCTGGTGCAGCGTGTTCATGAATGAACCTACATATATCTGCCCAGAAGTAATTTACCCTTGAGTTTAATAGGGCTTACTTTCAGGTAAGTAAAGTCTTAAGGCTGCCACATTCACATCATACATTCACACGATACCACTTTAAACAGTCATGGCTTCCCCCAAAGAATTCTCAGAGCTGGTGCTTGTTATGCGTGCTGTGAGTTGTTAGTGGAGCCCTATTTTTTTCACAGAGCTACAATTCCCAGAGTAGTTTAGTAATCAGTCCCTCTTCACAGGGTGAAGGAATGGGAACTATGGGAATTGTAGCTCGGGGGGGGGATAGGGGTCTCCTAACAAAACCCTTAGCAAACTGCAGCTCCCAGAAATAAATTTTTTAGGAGGGGAGCCATGATTGTTTAAAATCGTATCATAGAGCTTTATATGTATGATTTGAATGTGGCCCAAGTTAACATTTGAACTGGGGTTCTGTGGCTTATAGATAAGCTATTATCTGCTATGTTCTATCACCTCTCTAGAAGCCGTGGATATCTTAATGTGCTTAATTATCTATTCCTTTATATTTTAAAACAGAAAAGAAAGCTAAATCCTTTGCAACAGGGTCTGGAAGATACTCTAAAGGATAATGGAAGATAAAAGGCAAAGAGCCAGAGTGCAGGGGGGCTGGGCTGGACCAGTTAATAACAGAGCAGCTTCTCGTGCAGGCAAGATCATGTTTTTGTTTTTATATAGATGTATATAATTGAACAAAATTAAAAGTGTCTGGTTTTCTTTACCAGTCCTAAGCTTGGATCCGTATAATGTTCTTAAGCCCCTTAACCTTAGGGGATAATCCTTATTAATACAACTTTGTAGACTATTCCCAAAAGGCATGTTGTATCCTCTGTCCTGCTCCTTGTATAAGAAAGCATGCACCATTCCAAACCAGATGAAAGAAAGAGAATGGAATAATCTTCTTTGTTCTTCAGACCTTGGGCCCCAACAGGTCTGTATGCTTGGTTTGGTGGCATCTCTTCCTGCTTTTCAAACAGGACAACAAGTTCCACCTACAGCACAATATGTGGTGATCATTCTGCTGAATTTCTGGCCAAAAATGAGTAGAGTTTGACTGGGTGGTTGGCATAGGGTGTGCTCTGCTTGTATGAGAGAGAACTTGCTATTCAAAAAGTCAGTGGATCCAACATTTTCCTCTGCCATTCCAATATCTGGGGTTCTGCTTAATAGATGCTGCTCCAATTTTTCCTAAGAAGTTTTCCTGAGGTAAATATCATAAGTAAATATACTAACTGCCTAAAGTTAGTAAGCAAACTAATTTTAGTCTGCCTGAAGAACTGTGTGCATAAACCTTTATGCTTCCTAGGGATAAACATCTGGGGTAAAAAGACAATTACAAGACTGATTTCAGGTTTGAATAGTATATGTATTCAAGTTACCCAATGTAACCTTTCATTCTTTCTTTTGCATTATGTATAACTTGCTTTACCATAGAATTACTATTTGTCTGTTATATTAAAAGTACAGTTTATTCAGGTACATGAATACTGCATAAAATTTTATCAGGCTTTCTTTATAAGCTATCACTATCAGTTTCATTTTCTTCTTATTTGTCAAATTTACCATGCACTTCTAAAAACAAGGTTTGCCCAGACTGAAACCAGCTTCTACTCTTTCACATGCCAGCTTATTTCTTGATTTGATACACGTATTTTCAAACATTTCCCAGTTTCTTTCATATGCTGCAGAAGATGGAGAAATCTGAAGTAGGTAAGAAGCAAGAGGAGTCTGAGGCTGTGTAGTGAAAAGGCTTTGCCACAGCGTTTCAGGAGGTATATGCTTGGTAGAATTCCAGACTTCCTTCCTTGGCTAGATACCTGAAGGTGTATCTAGCAACATTTGAAAGCACCTTTCCAATATCAAGTCCTAAGTGTGCAGCTTGTTTTGTCAAATTCAGAAGTAGTGCTATCATCACTTACATTTCTGCCTTTGCATCTTGGATTCAACAGATCTGTGACAGCTTGAATTGGGATGGTAACAAAATTAGGTTGCCCTGTACGTTGTCTCACCCCCAGTTCTTTAAGACATATTCAGGAAGACAAAAAGAGATTCACCAACTATGCTAGCAAGAAGAGGGCCTCAAACAAAGGAGGCTTGTGACAATGAAGGTTCCCCATAAGTGGCAGAAACATGTCTTACTGTTGCATTTGAGAGTTGTACTCTGATCAAATAATGGAATTGTAATGATCAAATATTGAACATAAGCTTATATAAAAGTCTTTTCTGTTACAGTTTTAGAAATAATTTTGGCAAAAAATATATAAACACCTTGTCTCAAACATTTTGTTCAACATTGTAAAAGAAAATATTTCATAATCCAATTTTATCTCCATTTTGTGGGGGGTGGGAAGGCTTTAGGGGAGAAAGGGGGGGGTGATAGTTCCTTCACCCAAATGTTTGCCAGGCTTTCATGTCTCTGCTTGTATTATACCTAAAGGTTATAGAAGGAAAGCTTCATCTTGTAGTTATTTACATGGGCAGTCTTTGAAGATCTAGATACATGGCACTTGTGCAGTGGATTTTTTAAAATTATTATTTCACATACAGTTCTCAAAAAAATGGTATGTTCTTTGTGAAGGGATTTGAGATCTTCGGCTTTGGGAGTCACTCTCAAAGCTATATTTCTGAGGTTCTATTTACAAGTGTACCAGAAATACGAAGCCATGTGTATTAACTAATTTGACTGGTTCTTTCTCTTTCTGTCTTAGCTTCTGGAACTTCCAGCCGCAGGAACCAAGCCTTTGCAAGTACAACACAGTCCCGGGTGAGAAGAGAGGAGCAGCTTCCATCTGAAAGGCAGTTTGTTTTTAAAGCCCCAGAAGAGGTAGAGATTAAATAGCTGAATCCTGACAAGACAGAAATGCTGTGCTAGGGTCTGGGTATAAGGTATTCAGCCTGTTCTTGAAGGGGTTGTACCCCTCTTGAAGGAGCAGGTTTGTTTTCTGGGTCTACTCGTAGATTTGGCATTGTCACCAGAGGCTCAGGTGCCCTTAGTGGTACAGAATGCTTTTTCCCAGCTACAGCTGCTTCTGGACGGGGAAAGCTTCTGGCCACAATAATCCATGCTCTGATAACCTCCCAGTTGGATTACTGTAATGTGTCTACATAGGGTTGCTCTTGAAGACTCCTCAGAAACTGCAGCTAGCACAAGATACAGCTGCTCAGTTGCTGAGTGAAGTAACCAGTTGGATCCATATTTACTGTATTTTTTGCTCTATAAGACTCACTTTTTCCCTCCTAAAAAGTAAGGGGAAATGTGTGTGCGTCTTATGGAGCGAATGCAGGCTGCGCAGCTATTCCAGAAGCCAGAACAGCAAGAGGGATCGCTGCTTTCGCTGCGCAGCGATCCCTCTTGCTGTTCTGGCTTCTGGGATTCAGAATATTTTTTTTCTTGTTTTCCTCCTCCAAAAACTAGGTGCGTCTTATGGTCTGGTGCGTCTTATGGAGCGAAAAATACGGTAATTTTGTTCTTAAACAATTACATTGACTGCCTATACTTTTCTGGTCTGAGTTCAAGATACTGCTGATGACTTACAGTGCCTTGAGTAACTTGGGGCTGGCATACTTGAAGTATAGCCTCTCCCTATATAGTTCTGCCTTGGTGTTAAGATCTACCAGGAAGCTCCTCCTTAGCAACCCACTGCCGGAATCATATGTTATGCATTGGTGTCGCAAAGGGCCTTCTCAGTGGTGGCACCTTGGTTGTGGAACTCCCCTCTGAATTTCAGCATGGTCTTACTCTTTTTTTCTCCATTTAGATTCCAGCTTAAAACATGGTTGTTCACTTAGGCCTTGGGAGGTTGTTAATACTCAGTTGGATTTTGTAGTCTACCATTTAATGATGAATTGTGCTGTGAATTTTATTCTGTTCATGTTTGCTATGGATTGTTATTTCTAACTGCGGTTTTACCGTTTCCTGCCTGAGAACCTTGGATGAAGGACAAGCTAGAAATATTTTAAACAAATAACATATACTGTCCAGCTCAAAGGCTGCCAGTGCTGCTTACAGTAACCAATCCATGAAAACTTAAGATACATGCAGAATTATTACTGGGTTACCAAATTACCCCTTTTTAGTTGACTTACTTGAATGTGCCTGCTGTATAGAATGTTGTTGTTTTTCCCCCTCAGGTGGTGCGTAGACCCCCAGAGCCCAAAAGAATAGAGTAAGTACAACTTGAATTCATTGTAAAATAAGGTGCTCTTCTGACATATAGTGATATGGACAACACCTTCTCTTTCCTATTAGCTTTTCCATGGCAAAAGAATGGCCTCAGTGGTGATTTAGTAGACTCTCTTTCCCTGGCCCTTGTTGGTATTCTGAATCACATATGCCTGCTCAACCATACCTGACTGATTTTCTCTTCATCCTTGTTCTTAGGAATCAGGGTGTGTATGAGATCAGCACATCACCATCAGGAATATCTCGGTAAGCAGATAAAAACTCTCCTTTGTTATTATTGCAGAATAATGCAGTCGGATTCTGGCCAGTACTGAATTGGCTGACGCATTGGTGCTACAGAAAGCGTGTACTTCAGTGCACTGAATGTGGACTATGCTAGACAGTAATACAGGGAAAGGCTCTTGCTTCCCAAGTTTTACTTGCATATTACCGGAATGACTGGAAGCAGAAATGGCTGGAAAATCTCTGAGCTAGCTGCTCCACTGATCTTCCTGTGAATCACTGTATTTTCCTAATTTTCTCTTCAAAATATTGTCACTTTTTATCTATATATTCATTTATAAAACTATCTACCGCTATTTCATTAAAAATATCAAAGTGGTTTATAACAATGTCTATATACAATAAAAACAACATGAAAGCTAAAATCAGAGATCATCAGCTAACTGTTAATGAAAGGAGCTTTCTTTTTTAATTGCCTGCATACGCTTGGCAGCATAGAAACATTTTCAAAAATATTCTTTGGATATGCCATAAAAGCTTCATTTTCAGTATCTAATGTTAGAGGTACTTTTCCAGGTTCCTACGGGAAAAAACACTGATAGCAAGTTTGTCTGTTGAAGGTGTCTTAATAAAGTTTTTTGGTAAAGAGATTTTAAAAAATCATAAACTGCTAACTAGCTTTGAATGGCAGCCATGTGTCAAAGTTAGCACTTGCACTTAAACTGAAATGCATTTGTACATTAAAATGCTTGGGAGACGGATCTCGCAATGCTCCTGTATAATCCAGTTTTTCCTGTGCTAGGATTCATTTGATTCCTGGCTTCATTGACTTAAACGAAGCAGACTGGATGTTTGAACAACTCCTCCAAGAGATCCCCTGGAGGCAGAGAACACACATCAGGCAGGGTAATGGTACAGTCGTTCTCGTTTAACTGCCCACTTTTACTGTGGCCAGGCCTGCTGTTACCGTGGCATCTGCCAGGACCCACTAGGCTGACACATTGCTTTAGCCCTAGCCCCTTTTTCCATTGTCACTGCTGGCTGTAGCAGTTTTGGAGTCGTTGGAAGCCCATGCACCCCTGGACGAGCTTACCTGGTGGCGGATGATGTGGGAGAGAAAATATAGT